AAGAGGAGTTGATTGCACTGTACGAGAAGAAGAAGGGCGAATCGTCATCCGGTATGGTTTCAGTGCTTCTGACTGAGCAGCTGAAGCGGGTGAGGGAGGTGCTGACGACCTGGAAGGAAGTGGACGAACGTGTCTCCAAGCTGTGCCCTTCTGAGAATGCTCTGGAGGACACCTCAACTGACACTGCCTGCAGCACTACTGGTACGATCACGGATGGGCTGGTTGGCTTTTTGTCCGGCAACTTCTCTAATGACACATGGAAGGACGAGTACCTCGGGGTGAACGCCACAGTAACGAATGGGGCGGAGAAAACGGATAACGGCGTAACATTTAAAGGGCGTGGTGCGTGGGCGGAGTGGCCTGTTGGCAAGCAAGGGGAGAATCAGCTGTACCACTTTGCGAACCACAAATTCACTCTTGTGGCGACGGTGTCCTTCCACGGTGAGCCGAAGGAGGGAGTTACCCCTATTCCATTGATGGGTGCGAAGATGAATGACAATGAGAATCCAGTTCTTTTGGGACTGTCGTACAACAACAAAGAAAAGAAATGGATATTACTGTGCGATGGCAGAGAGAACAAGAAGTACAGCAGCGATTGGGAGACAAAGACATCAGAACACGTGGTAGTTTTGCTACGGAACGGCAACCAGAGCTCTGCGTACGTCGATGGTCAGCCTGTGGGTGGGGATGAAGAATGTGTACTGAAAATTGCGGATTCGAAGGAGATCTCACACTTCTACATTGGAGGGGATGGAGGCCGCGCAGAGGGCCAAGAAGGCGTGTCTGTGACTGTGAGGAACGTCCTGCTGTACAACCGCCCGTTGAGTTCCGCAGAGATTACCGCGCTTGCCAAAAATAAAATTACTATTCCGAAGCCGGAAGGTCCGACGACATTGGTGGACACTCAATCACCAGCGACAAGTGCACCAGATGTGCAGCTAGCCCTGCCCCGACCTAATTCTGCCGGGCAACTGCCATTGGAGGAGGAACCGTTGAAGGCGAATATTGGTGCTGGTGCTGGCGGTGTATCCAGTGCAGCTTCCGTTACTACTTCTTCAGCAGATGCAAACACTCCTGCCTCTAATGGCGAGGGGAAAGTTGAACCTGCAGTGAAAAAGGAGATGAGCGTGAACTCTGGTGAGGATTGGGAGACGGCGGAAGGAACGGATGGGCAGAAGGAAGGGGTACACTCACAGGTCAGGGAAGTAAATGCTGCGGCACTCAACGGCAGCCTCGGAAATTTGTCGCAGGGGAATAACAGCGATGGCGGCACCATGCGTGGGAGCGGACTGCTGTCGTTCCTCCTTCTTCTGTTGGGACTGTGGGGGTTTGCGGCTCTGTGAGGAGTGACTGGCTGCCGCGTGGAACAGTTGCGCCCTCCCTTGCACAGAATTACTTCCCCGATAACTAATATCTCTGATACTTTTACTTGTTTGTGCATAATTTAAATTTATTTTCCTGTTTTTGGATATCTTGTTTTAAAATTCATTTTTTTCTAACCTAACTCCCACATCCCTTTTTTTTTTTTTTTTTTGCTTTTGGGGGCAATCACTGTGGACGTTTTTTCTTTTCTACTCTTCCCTTTTTTAATTGTTTGTTGCTGCACTCTTCCTGTGAGGGGTGCCGTGTGTTTCCCGCCCAACTGCTCCACTCGCACACCCACCGACACGCTCATGACGACGGCCCTGTGCGCCTCGCCTGCTGCACGCATGAGGAGGGCCGCGACGAACGGCGCGCTGAGGGAGCCGTGACGTGTGGGCGTGCGACGAGGGCCTGTGGGGCGGAGCACACATTTCTTCCCCTCTTGTTTTGTTTTCTTTGCGGTCCAGGGCGGGCAGACACCCGCAGCGCCACACACACAGCCACACCCTGCCGCCGTGTTTTTAAGATTTCTTTTCTTTTGCTGCGCTCACTCTCCCGATGGAGTGACGCGACCGCCATCATGTCTGCGTGCTTCTCTCGGTTCCCACACACACGGGCGACTGTGCTCTGCGGGCCGCACTCACGCGCCGATGGGAGGGCTGAGGGGAGCAGCAACACGCCGATGACCCCATGAAATATAAACGATGTGCGGACACACAGAGGGTCGGACGGTTGAAGGATATTTAAATATCTTTTAATTTTATTTTCGGACAAAATATATGCAGACGGTTTGGTGTGGCCACACGGCAGCCGGCTGCTTTTTTAAATTTGTGTGGAGCAGTAATGGACGATTTCTTTTTTATTTGTAATTATTTTGTGTGATGGGGTTTGTGTAAGATGAAGGGGGAAGCTTTTTTGTTTTAAATAATTTTTTTAATGAATTGCCGCTGCTTGGGCTGCGGTGGAATCGTGAGTTTGAGCGGTGTTCTTCTTGTTGCTTCCGCCATGCACCTCCGCTGTACATTTTTTTGTGCGTCTCTCCACATACTCTGCTCCTGTTTTTTCTACTTCTTTGCTTTGTGTTTCTGCAGGCACACACAACCACACACACAAGATGCACATTGCAGTGGATTTGAATGCTTCTTTTGCAGTGCATGCTGGCAGTTGCGTGTGGCGGCTGTTGTCTTCTTTCGTGGCCATGAGGAGAAGGAGTGCGCAGCCCGAGTCTTTTCTTCTGCGGGTGTGGAGCACCGCGTGCGGCCGCGTTGAGTTGGGCTCCGCGTCCAATTGATGGCGGGATGGCTGGAAGTTTTTTTGCCGCGTCATGATGGATGAGGGTTCGCTAGCGGCTGTGGCTGGTGTGGTGGGTGCTCGCTCCGTGTGCGTTGTGTGGTGGCTGCGGGCCGTGGCTATTTCCCGTTGGCTGTGGAGATGAGCTGGGAGGAGATGGAGGTGGATGTGTTCTCCTCCTGCATGGTGGGTGGCTGCTGGCGTTGTGTGCCTTCCTCGCGTGCATGCCGTCTCGTGGTGCGTGAACTGTGCGGCTGGGCCTGCTGCCCTCTCCTCATGTTGTCTGCTCTCTCGCTGTATCCGCTGTGCCCCGTCCATCTCCCTCTTGCATTCTTTTTCTTCTGTCTCACCGATCAGCTGACTGGCTCCAGCGGCTCCACTACGGGTGATGATGACTGTGATAACGACGGTGCGGCGCCGTGTTGGTCCTTGCGCTCTTGTGCTGCTGCTGCTCGTCCGTGTGCGTGACGGTTGCTGGGAGTCCTGGACATGTATCTGGTGATGCGGATGCGGTGGTTGTGCCGGTGGATGTGTCGTGTGCTTCGAGTGACGGCGGCCTGAGCCATTGCGTGCATGTGCGTGTGTGGGCGTGGAAGAAGTGTTCTGCTGCCGGTGCTGAGGCTCAGCATGAGAATTATACTTTCAATGGCTTTGGTGTGCGCATGCATGGCAGGAATGGTGAGCTGGGCGCTGTGTGCCATGTGGCCAATGCGGTGCACACATGTATCAACTGTGCTGCCAGCTGTGCAAGGAAGGAGGAAGGGGCCACCGCTGCCTCCACGATGAATGTGACGACGCATAAATACGCCGGCCCTTATGAATTGTGGTGGGGTCAATTTTCCCCCGATGGAACCATCCATCCGCCTGCACGGAGCAGCGATGCTGACCGGACGGCATCTGTCAGTTGCCGCCACCCCGTGAAGGGAGGGATGACACAAAATCTGGTGGGACAACTGCGCCGCAAGTTAATGCTGAGCCGTCACGTCAGAACGAGGATTGGCGACAGTCTGCGGCGGCTGACGGACACAACACCGTCGATCCGAGTCCCGCATCCAACACGGCGACCAACACGTCCGAGACGAGGCCTGAGTTTGCCAGCAATCCGATCGAAGTGATGGTCCCGAATGCATCCATGAAGAGGCCTTCCTTTGCCAACGGTCCGAGAATGTTATTGGCGTCGAATGCATCCGGGATCATGTCTGTTACTTGTGGCGGCAGGGAACACGTTGCTGCGGATAACACGGACGAGGTGAGTGGGCGCAACGCCACGGGACACAAATCTCTCTTTTTAGGAAACGGCGTTGCAGGCAGTGGATTTGTTGCTGAGGGTGATGCGTACGGATTGAGTCAACGCAATGCCCCTGGACACGAGAACAAACCCCAATTACGAGAATTCACCGCGCAGTATTCCGGGAGCGGCGGGAGTCTACACGACTGCTTTGCCCTGCTCAACGACGCGAAATTGACACTGCGCGAGTTAGCTGTTGACGGCACTGTGCGTGTGTGTGTGTATTGGGCGTTGCTACTTCTTCTGGGATTGTGTGGAGTTGTGGCGGTCTTGTGAGCCGAAGAGTGTGGAATTGCGGCTCCTCACGGAGAACGTGTCCCGCGTTGCATGCGTGTTTTCTTTTATTATTTACATTTTACCGTTTGTTTTGTTTTTCCTGGAATAATACGTATCCTTGCCGTTCCTTTATTCAATGGTCGGTTTCTGCACACTGCCATGTGTGACGTGCTTCTCCCTCTTGTTTTTGTTGCCCACACGCGGTGCCGGCCTCATTGCAGTGCGTCCCACGGACTGCACGAAAGGAGGATTGGAGGAACAGGTCTGATGCCGCGATGAAATGTGAAGAGTGTTGTGTGGACTCATCGAACAGGACGATCTTTTTTATTTAATTTACTTTTTCGGTGCGGGCGTTATGTATACACAGACACACAAATGGTCGTTTTATTGTGCCGTATGGCACATGAAATGAAAGTCGTGCCTGATCGATGTTTCATATTTTTCTTTTACTTTTTGGGAGTCCTGCCGGACCCTCAACCCTTTTGCTTTTTTTCTAAAACTTCTGGTTTGCAGGGCGGTGTTCGAGTTCTGCAATCGCACTGATTCCCTCTGCCTCGACGTGCGTGTTGCTGGGGTGCTGCCACTTGTTGCTGGGCTGCTATCATTTGTTATTGTGTGTGACGTGGCTGTGTGACTTGTCTCTCTCTTTTTTTCATTGCTTTCACTCTGCGTTGACGGGGCGTTAGTTTGTGCTGAAGGCTACACGCAAGTGACAGGAGTGATGGCGATGATGATGACTGGCCGTGTGCTGCTGGTGTGTGCCCTCTGCGTGCTGTGGTGCGGTGCTACGGTGGTGGGGTCGGTGGCGAATGATGTTGTCGATGGCGGAATAAAGGAGGGTCCATTGGGAGGTTCGCAGTCTGATTTTAGAGACGAAAAAGCAGGAAAACCGGAATTATCGGAGTCAGTCGATGAGGGCTTAGGGTCCGCGGGTCACTCGTTGGATACACGATCAGGCACTAACGTCAGTGAGCAAGGGAACCTGGTCAACGAACCACCAACAGGGAATGTTGGGAAGGAAGAAGTAGAAGGAGAAGCCCTCGGAACACAACGCAATGAAGTACATGAACAGCAAGTAGAAGAGGAAGGCAAAGAACTAACGGTGAAACAGAAATCTCAAACAAAGGATAAAGGAACACTACCACAATCAACACCACCGACGACAGCAGGCAGAATAACATCCCCACCACCGACGCCAGCACTAATGCAAGGATCACCGAGAACGCCAGGACAACCAAAAGAAAACTCACAAAAATCAACAGGGCAGCCACCAAAGCTACAAGTACCACCAGCAAAATCGCCATCACAAGCATCTGATCTCGGTGAAGCCGATGCTGGTCCCGTTGGAATTAAAGGCACCGGTCGAAATGTTATTGGTGGCAGTCTTGATAAAAATAAAGATCCTAAAGGAAGAGAAGGTCATATTTCCGGGCCACCTTCCGGTGGTGCTTCTTTATCTCCCATTTCCAACAATGGAGACGCTTCACAGATGAATGGCGGTGCACCATCCACTCAGGACACGAAATCTTTAAAAAACAATGAGCAGTCAGGGCCAACAACATATTCAGGGAACGCACCACTCAACAGGGAGACACCGGAGACGTCAACACCCGATGCAAAACAGCACTCCTCTGAAACACAAGAAAATGAAACGAGTCGAGTTGCTGACGGGGATGCAAATTACACCGCCGCGGGGCAGAGTGCCGTGGGGACGAAAGGCTCTTCCGGCGTATCGACTACCGCCAGCAACGCACCAACAACACTTCAACCACAACTGCCAGCATCTCCAGTACCACCCACAGCGACAGTAACGGGAGCGCCGGCAGAAAAACCAACTGCGGAACGCTCACCACCACCGGCAGATTCAACAACAGGAGGAAACCTAGCAGCAACAACTACAGCCCCAACGAATGATACTACGACGAAGCCTGGCGACAGCGACAGCAACACCGCGGTCTCCCACACCACCTCCCCTCTTTTGCTTCTTCTTGTTGTTGTTGCTTGTGCGGCTGCGGTGGTGGCCGCGTGAGAGTGAGTGTGAGAGAGCCATGCACCGCCCGCACACACACTCGTCCTTCTCTCTCTGTGTGTGCGTCCCCTTGCATGGACTCTCGCCCTCACCTCACCCCACGAGACAGAGACAATAATGTGCCCATTGTATTTATGCATGCACACCCATGCAGGCCCGTTGGTGCACTCTTTTGCACGACACGCACCGCTGCCGTTCTGCCTGGCTGCATGGGCGGAGCACCGTAACTGTTTCTGTTTTGTTTCCATTGCATTGAGTGGGCGACCTCTCTCTCTCTCCCTCTGTGTGTGTGTTTTGCTTTACGGGAGCAATGAGAGTGTGTGTGCGCTGGTCGTCCCACACTTTGTTTTTGTTTTTTCATTGTTGTAATTGTGTTGTGGTTCAGTCCACCTTTGTCGCGCGTTTTTGATTGGCAATTTGCTTTGACTTTGGAGACGTGAACCTTTTTTTGTTTCATATTGTTTCTGTTCTTCTGTGAGTTTGTCAGCCTCTTGTATTCTTCTCAAGCCAATTAGATTTTCTTTGGCTTATGATATGCGTCCGTTGATCCACGTTAACCCCACGGTCTGCATCGCTTCTGGTGCTGCTATTGATGATCTTTGCGATTTGATTTGTCAGCGGTTGCTTTGTTGTCTCCCTGAATTATTCCTGATTCTTTGACGATGTGGTCTTCTCCGACGGCGAGGTCGATACCGGTGACGGTGGGGAGAATGCATCTCAGGGCGCTGGATGCGTTGCAGGTGTGCAGCGGCGTCTGGAAGGCCCGATGGGTGCCCGTCCGCATTAAAGTGCCAAAAACGGACCCGTGTGAGAGCAGGAGGCACTGCGACTTCTCCCGGTCCTGCACAGCGAATTCGTTCGACGGCGCGTTTGGCTGTAAGAATGGTGTTTTGACCTCTGCGCACGAGAACGCTCTTGCCGAGGAGACTGTCCCTGCTGCTGTCAAACTGCATGCGGATCGTCTGCTCGTCCGGCCAATGGAGGGTCCGTTGATTGTGTCCTCATTTGCCACGGGCAGCGTTTGCAGTTGGTTCACGGTGCCTGCTGGGCATTGTTCCACTGGTGTTGCCGATTCTGTCATGGTGCTGTGCGTGGCTGCGGCGCTTGGTGGTGTGTGGGCACTGCTGTGCGCCGCGCTGGAGGATGGCCGTCCCGTCGCTGGCGCCATGCACTTTCCCGGTCGTTTCATTTCACGGACGCATCGCCGCACACCTGATGGCCCATGCTCTCGGGTTCAACTGCCTGCACATGGCCAGCCGCAGCATGGTGAGGAATGTTGCCTGTGTGCGTGGCAGGGCGTTGTCGGTGGTGGTGGACTCGACGACTGCCGCGATGGCTGCGAGGGAGCACCACGACTGCGACGACATTGATGGCATGGAGCTGCAGGATAACGATGGGGACGGGAGGACGATGGAGGCGCACTTATCACAACACCACGCGAGGGATGAGTGGATGGCACCGATTGGGAGTGCCGGCTGCCGCAGAAGAAGTGCTCCGCACTGAAAATGAATGAATATCGCCACATGCTTTGCGCATTGGGCGTTTCTGCCAGACGCAGCGCGTCAGATCGTTGTTCCAGTGGTTGCTGTGTAGACGGAGTATCCATGAAGCTCAGCCAAACGCCCGATGGACCGTTGCCCCATCATTTATCCCGCACTGGATGTGAGGGATGCTGCCGCTGTTATTTGGAGGGAGAATCTTTGTCTGCGGTGCCTGGGGATGAGCCCTCTTCGTGGTGTCTGGACACGCTTCCCAACAACACGACGGATGCGAGGGACCCGGAGGAGACACATCTGACTGCTGCCACGCATGCGGCATTGAAGTGCCTCGGCATGTAATTGCATCTGGAAGTGACTGAAGAGGGTAACGTCCGTTGGTCCCATGCACGGCCGAGGCGACGATTGCGTGAGTTGCTCCGCCCTACGACGAGGGAAACGCTATTTGCCGTGACCACGCGCAGGTGTGCACGATATCTTTCACCAGCGGTAGCCTACTTCCAATAGTTTCGTGGGACGGCGAGGAGAGAGCGTGTGGAGCAGGACGGTTTTACCGGCATCTACTGAACAAGCTTTGCTACGGGCATCCGTCCCCGTTGCGGAGAGCATTGGGACCGGTCGCGGCACACCACCGAAGGATGTCTACACGGCTATTCCCCTGAAGCATCCGTCGCCAGAGGAGAGGGAAGTCGCCTCAGGTGCCACGACGGCAACGGAGTGCTCTTGCCCAGCGAGACCGCGGGTGCGCCGCAGGAGGCGGAGAAGGAGAGCGATCTTCCGGACATCGACGATGTGGCCGCCGATGGCGTGACGTCTGTTGTGGGACAATCATTATGAGATGAGGCCGCCAGCGACAAGGCCGGTGGCGGTGCCACAGCCACGGGACCCAGGAGCCCTGATGCCGCTGATGACGCGCAGGGCGCCGTGGACCCTCCGCCGAGGGAGGATGAAGCGGCGGTGGTGCGCGCGGGGGTTGGGAAGCAGATATGAAGGACGCCCCGCCTCCGATCCACGGCAATAACAGTGCGGCTGCTGCTTGTCCCTTTCCGCTGATTCTTCTGCTTGCCGCTGCCGCCGCGGTGCCAACACTCAGCAGTGGGTGCAAGAGAGAAAGGCCTATATCAACTGGCATGTTCCTATCAGTGTATACATACGCTCTGCTTGTCCGTATACTTTGTACCAGGGACATGCTGTATGCACTCTCCCTCTTTTGTCGGTCGCTGATGTGGCGGCACCACGCTTGTATTATGGGTTGGGATAAGAAATTGTTTGGCTTCTTCTGGAGGATACTGTGGGGTGTTTGTGTGCGTGTACGAGGGATCTGTGGGTTTTGATTTCCCTATTTTTATTTAGCTGCTTTGGCATTGTGTAATGGTACTTCCCTTCTCCATTAAGTGTGTTCTGAAGTGTTGCTAGGGCACCGGGAGCGGATGCCTGTTGATGCACACCGTGCATTATGCGCTACATTGGTGGGAGGGAAGACTGACATAACTGGCGGGATTCAGTAAGGCGCATTTTTGCCCACGGACCCTGCAGCCGCAGCAGCCTGAGTGGCGCTTTGCATATGGACGTGTGGATTGTTTCTCTCTTGCGAGGATTTTTTCACTGCTTGTCATTCTCCGCTCGGGTACCGTGCCCGTGGCAGCAGCGGCGGCATCAAAAGGGCTGTGTGTGTGGAGAGTCCTTGATTGAGTACCTGCCTTCCTTCTCTGTTCTGTCGATCGAATGTACCGTGTGCCGGCCAAACGGTTGACATGACGTTCTTCTGACGGCGGGGTCCACGTGACATGATGTTGCGTCGCGTGCTTTGTTGCGGGTGTGTGATTTCCGCAACTGTTTTTGGGCGGTTGACTGTTGGGTCGTTGAGGGCGGCGTGGCGACGGGTGCGGATGGACCCGATTGTGTGCCGTGGCTGTTCGTGCGGGGGAGCCGTGGGAAGGAGGAAGGCAGCGGAGCGATGGACTCACGAGGAGTGCGGTAGCGTGCAGTCATGAAGATTGGCGACAGGGAACTCACTGCCGCTGTGAGTTGCCGTGTGTGGTGTTTGTTTCTGTTATTATTACTTGCGTTGTTGGATGTGGCCGCTGTGGGGGAAGAATTTTTTTTTGCTTTCTTTTTCACGCCGTTTTGGGATCCTTTTCTGTACCGTGATCTCTGTGTTCCTGCCGCGCCGTGGCGTCCTCCTTCTCTTCCATTGGGGGCAGCTGCGTGTGGGTTTTACATGCCGTGGAGTTGTGCGCCGTGCTGTCCGGTGTTTTATTGTTGCTTGTTATTCCTGCGTGCACGCGTCCCCCATGCTCATGACAACAACCCTCATGTAAACGCCACCCCTTCTTCTCCATGCTGCTGCTGCTGATGTGTGTGTGTGTGTTCTTCTCATCCTCCTCTCTTTGCCCCTCCCTAGACTGTGTGTGCAGCCGTGATGATGATGACTATGACTGGCCGTGTGCTGCTGGTGTGTGCCCTCTGTGTGCTGTGGTGCGGCACTGCTGGAGCTGCTGCTGATGGTTCTGAGGAGAGGGCGGATCTTTCAGGGATAGGTGGTGGATCTCTGCCGGAATTAAAAGAAATTGGAAAGTCCCCAGAAGAACCCCAGGGCAAAAAAGATGAAGCAGGAGATGTTAAAGGAAAAAAACATCCCGCATCCTCAGAGGATAAAGAAGAAGATGATGCAGATGGTGATGAAGAAGATTATGACGTTGTTGATGATCTTGAGGAAGAAGAGCGAGAAGAGGAAACAGTAGAGACAGCAGAGACAGAAATACCCAATGATCCAACAAAAGAGGAAGCATCATCACCACCACAATCAAAGCACGAAAAAGCGCCAGCAGCAGCACCAGCAGAAGGAATCCCAACAGCACAATCACCAGCAACGCCAGTACAACCAACGACGCAAGGACAGCCGCCAACGGCAGCGCCATCACCAGAAGATTCACCAGTCCCAGCAGCGTTGGCAGCAACAGCGGCACCGAAATTAACATCATCAGAACAAGGAAACACACCAGCAGCGGCGCGGAAAAAGGATGAAAAACAATCGGAAGATATTGACCCGGCACAAGAAAGCGAACAGCCCGATCCTCAAGATGTCGTGTTAGTGCAACAGTCACAAGGTGTTCACGAGAGCAAGGAGTCAAACAGCAATCCACGAAACCCAGCCAGCGCCTCCGCCACTGCCAACCAGCGGGATGCAACATTTAACGGTCGTGGTGAACCAGCACAAACAACATCTTCAACTAAAAGCGGTTTTGAGAGTAACGACGATAACAGTGGCACTGAAGAAGGGATAACAAGCGATGATCCAACTGCTGATGGTGCAGGGAAAAACGACACAAAAAACAGTAAAAATAAGCATGGCAATACGAAGGAAACACCAGTCGAAGCCACAGCCGTAAAAGCCACAACGGCGACGACTGGCGACAGCGACAGCAGCACCGCGGCCTCGCACACCACCTCCCCTCTTTTGCTTCTTCTTCTTGTTGCGTGTGCGGCTGCTGCTGCGGTGGTGGCCGCGTGAGAGTGAGGGAGAGAGAGCCATGCACCGCCCGCACACACACTCGTCCTTCTCTCTCTGTGTGTGTGTCCCCTTGCATGGACTCTCGCCCTCACCTCACCCCACGAGGCACACACATAATGTGCCCATTGTATATATGCATGCACACCCATGCAGGACCGTTGGTGCTCTCTTTTGCACGACACGCACCGCTGCCGTCCTGCCTGGCTGCATGGGCGGAGCACCGTAACTGCTTTGTTTCCATTGCATTGAGTGGGCGACCTCTCTCTCTCTCCCTGTGTGTGTGTTTTGCCTTACGGGAGCAATGAGAGTGTGTGCGCTAGTTGTCCCACGCTTTGTTTTTATTGTTTTGTTTTTTTATTGTTTTTTGTGGTTGAGTGCACCCATTACTTTTTTATCTATTATTGGCAGTTTGCTTTGACTGCGAACGTATGACTTTTTATTTTTTATTCTTTGTTTTCTTTTCTCTGAGATATTGTGAGTGTTTCCTATTCTTGTCAAGCCATGAAGTGTTTTCCTTCATGTAAAGCATGCGTCAGTTGATCCACGTCACCCCACGGTCTGCAGTGCTGCCGGTGCTTCTGGTTGTGATATGTTGTGCCAGCGGGTGCTTTGCTGCCAGCCTGACGTATTCCTGCTTCTCTGACAAGGCGATGCGTGCGGACAGGGCGAAGTCGATCCCGGCTGTGGTGAGGGATGTGCCTTTTGGATATGAGGGTGCGTCGCAGAAATGCACCGTCATTGGGAGGAATGATGGGCGCCCACCCGCATCAATGTGTCGACAAGGGACGTGGATGGCACCATGAAGTATTGCAGCTCAGAGCGGTATTGCGCAATGAATTCATTAGTGTCAATTGCAAGTGTGAAGGTGACGTTTTTCTATGCTGAGAAAAGGGAAATATTTGTTTCGTTATACTTTGCAGCCACTGTTCGTTAATGGCCTGCGGGCTGTCCGTAGCGATGTGGCCAGTTTTCCTTTTTGAATGGTGCTGTCGTGCGAGAGGGTGTGTTCCCAAATAGTCGGATGCTCAGTTGTCGAGGACGGCGGCATTCCCACAGCGTGTGCGGCAGGGCCTCCCGTGGATTGTCGCGGCTCAGCGGCTGGTGGTGGTTGTAGCAGAGGAGTGGCTGAAGGGCTACGGCTGTCATTGGAGCTTGCAGAGGTGCGTTGTCCGTTTTTTGCTCGTTGGTACGCCTGACATTTTTGGTGGTGACCTGCGCGTGAGGCACCTGTTGGGAAGACCGTGGAGCTGTCGCAGAATCCACATGTGAGGCCTTCTGCAACGATTGGAGTGCGAGGGTTAGTGCGTCGGGCGTGTGCCTTCATATTGTGGACGGACGAGAAGACGCTGCTGCAGCTTGGGCAGGGCGACGTTGATCCGCTGCTCGTCGTTCTACGAGGAGGTGCCGTGGACACGCCAGGTGGAGGTTCCGGAGGAGGTCGGGGCAGTCCCGCCTCTTCAGTGTGAGGAAGGGACGGCACCACCGACATAAAGGGTTGCTTGTAATCTGCAGGGTGCGTGCCGGTCTGCCGAGGAGTGGACAGGAGGACGTCCATCACCCGCTTGCTGGTCGGCAAGGAGTGGCGGTGCTCACGTCGGGAAGAGGTTACGGCGGAGGCAGAGCACAGACGCGGTCCCAACAGCACCGCAGCACAGCCGATCCCAGAGGGCAGGAACGTGGCGCCACCATGCCTCGGGGCATCACAGGCATGGGATCGAGAGGACACCAAGCTGTTTCGCACGGACCTCTAGCAGCATGGAGAAGCCACGACGGAGGGCATGATTGCGGTCCTCCCGCTTGCGGAGCACTTCAGCTCGGGGCAGGCTGCCGCTGCAACACACTCGGCGTGCTCCATTACGTCCGTACAGATTCCTGTGGGAATGTCACGGCTGCCGCTCGTACGGTGCCGCGGTGCATCTCAAACCATGTGGTCACAGCGGCCAGAAACGTTCCACACGCCGAGGTGGAAGCATCACAGTCAGCTTCACGCAGGACAACGAAGACATGTTTCCGTCGTGGCAGCATGCCTGCCTGTCGCGGGATGCCGTCCTCCGTCCCTGCAGTGTGCAATACCAGATGGTGGTCCGAGTCCATTCAAACAGGTGGACGTCCAGTGGGAGACACGCAGTGCGCGTTGCGCAATCACATCGGGAAACGAGACGCTGCGGCCGCTGATCCACGTTGCCTGTGCAGGGTCGTCGGAAAACTCAATCTCCATGCCGCTTGGGGTGGCGGCGGGGTCCTCTCCTGCCGTCGTGGATGGCGAGCAACCGTCCCGCAGCTCGTGGTGTGAATTCAGGTCAACCGCAATAGGAACAAGACGATGAATGGTGCTCGCAAAGTGAGCAGCGTGAGCAATTACTATAGGAAGGCTGCAGAGGTTCACCGCGTACATGCTGGGGCAGGCAGGTGGGCACACGCGGAAGGCGGTGGTCTCCAGGCAGTTGGTGTCACGAGCAAAAGGCGTTCGCACGGCAAGGTGTGGCGCACCAAGAAGGCCACGCCACCGGCACGCCCACTGCAGGCCTGGTGGAAGTCACGGCAGTCAATGAGCCTCGTCGCTGGGGCACCCTGGTGCCTGCACTCCTGCAGAAGAACCATGCCGGGATGGTGCTGCGCCAGTCGAGCAGCAAGGGCAATCCTGAGGGGCGAAAGGCCTGAAGTTCTGAGCTGCCAGACAACTACGACGCCATCCTCATCGAGGCTGCGGCTCTTGCGGACACCACCGCAGCGGGTGATGCCGACGAAGTGGCCGCACTGAAGCGACTGTGCGGTTCTGTCAGTCAAGCTGCAGGCAAACCGCCTCGCCGCTCCACAACCAACAGAGCGTGGGACGTTCTCGAGGGATGACGCCGTCGTGGTCCCCATCACGCTCGCAGCAATGCCCTGCCGCAATCACTCCGACAGGGAGACAGGGAAGAGTGTGTAGATGTGTGCCGAGAGCACAGCGACTGTCATCGTCAGAGGCGGCCATCGTGGCACCGTCCGTCACGCGTCAGCACACACCAAGCAACGCACGAACCCAGCACAGTAAATACAACGAGGAGAGAAGAATGCCCCAAGAGCAGGCAGCACCTTCACGCATGGCGGGCATTGTGCAGCCGTGTTGCCATTTCAGCACGGGACGCAAGCCAACGTCCTGCCGTCGCCAAGAGCATTCCTGCCGAGCACCGTGCAATCACTTATTTTCTGTGTGCTGGAAAGGCAGAAAGAGGAGCACAGGGAGGCACATCAACACGGCAGGAGGCACAGCTGGATCGCAGGAATAAATGCGGTACGACCCCAACCTCAACAATCACACACGGTGGCGGCACACATCCATCCACAAAAAAAAAGCAAAAAATCTTAAAAACACGGCGGCAGGGTGTGGCTGTGTGTGTGGCGCTGCGGGTGTCTGCCCGCCCTGGCCGCAAAGAAAACAAAACAAGAGGGGAAGAAATGTGTGCTCCGCCCCACAGGCCCTCGTCGCACGCCCACACGTCACGGCTCCCTCAGCGCGCCGTTCGTCGCGGCCCCTCCTCATGCGTGCAGCAGGCGAGGCGCACAGGGCCGTCGTCACGAGCGTGTCGGTGGGTGTGCGAGTGGAGCAGTTGGGCGGAAACACACGGCACCCCTCACAGGAAGAGTGCATCAACAAACAATTAAAGAGGGAAGAGTAGAAAAGAAAAAAAGAAAAGAAGGGATGAGGATGAGAGATTAGTAAAAAAAATTAATGACAGAAAAAGACTAGCAAAAAAATTTTTTGAAACAAACAGGAAAAAAATTTAAAATACGCAAAAACAAAAAAAACAAAACAAAAAGCCGAAGCGTGGGACGACCAGCGCACACTCTCATTGCTCCCGTAAAGCAAAACACACACACACAGAGGGAGAGAGAGAGAGAGGTCGCCCACTCAATGCAATAAAACAGAAACAGTTACGGTGCTCCGCCCATGCAGCCAGGCAGGACGGCAGCGGTGCGTGTCGTGTAAAAGAGAGCACCAACGGGCCTGCATGGGTGTGCATGCATATATACAATGGGCACATTATTGTGTGTGCCTCGTGGGGTGAGGTGAGGGCGAGAGTCCATGCAAGGGGACACACACAGAGAGAAGGAAGAGTGTGTGTGCGGGCGGTGCACGGCTCTCTCTCCCTCACTCTCACGCGGCCACCACCGCAGCCGCAGCCGCACACGCAACAAGAAGAGGAAGAAGCAAAAGAGGGGAGGTGCTGTGGGAGACCGCGGTGCTGCTGTCACTGTCACCAGTCGTCGGCGTTGTGGTTTTCATGGCCGTGGCTTCGACTGGTGTTTTTTTCGGATTGGCTTCTTTATTTTCATTTTGTTTTTCTTCTTGCGTCCCTGCACCATCAGCTGCTGGATCTTTGTCGCCAGTTGTTTGAGTTCTTTGGGGTTTTGTTTTATTCGATGCTTCCTCCACACGAGAAGGTGATATTGGCTCTTCCTGACCGCGTTCTGAAATCCTCTCTGTAGTGCCGGTATCATCTTTTTCTTCTTCCTTTTTCTCTTCCTCCGTCTCTTCTTTTTTCTCCTTGCCATCATCCACTTCTACTTCATCTTCCTCTTCCTCTTCTTCCTCCTCTTCCTCCTCTTCCTTTTCCTCATTCTTCAATTCATCATTATCAGTTTTATCTTCTTTTTTCGTCGTGTTCTTGTTGTTTTCCGTCGTTGCATTTGCCGTTCCTGACGCCTTTGCTACGGATTGTAGTGCTTGTGCTGCGGGTTGTAGTGCCGATTCCGCTTCCGTTCCCGATACAGGCACCGATCCTGCTGCTGGTTGTGTAACTGCCGGTTGACCGGTTGGGCCACCTCCTCCAACGTCATCGGTTGTGTTGTTTTCACCTTTACGTTTATTGTCTTCGGACTCACCAGTAACCGGGAGGGCTAGAGCTGCTTCAGAACATCCACCACCGCAGGCACCGCACCACAGCACACAGAGGGCACATAGCAACAGCAGGCGGCCAGTCACCATCATCACGGCTGCACACAGAGTCTAGAGAGGAGCAAAGAGAGGAGGATGAGAAGAACAAACACACAAACGCATCAGCAGCAGCAGCATGGAGAAGAAGGGGTGGCGTTTACATGAGGGTTGTTGTCATGAGCATGGGGGACGCGTGCACGCAGGAATAACAAGCAACAATAAAACACCGGACAGCACGGCGCACAACTCCATGGCATGTAAAACCCACACGCAGCTGCCCCCAATGGAAGAGAAGGAGGACGCCACGGCGCGGCAGGAACACAGAGATCACGGTACAGAAAAGGATCCCAAAACGGCGTGAAAAAGAAAGCAAAAAAAAATTCTTCCCCCACAGCGGCCACATCCAACACGCAAATAATAATAATAATAATAAACACCACACACGGCAACTCACAGGGCAGTGAGTTCCCTGTCGCCAACCTTCATGGCTGCTCGCCCCGCACTCCTCGGGAGTCCATCGCTCCGCTGCCTTCCTCCTTCCCGCGGCTCCCCCACACGAACAGCCACGGCACACAATCGGGTCCATCCACACCCGTCGCCACGCCGCCCTCAACAACCCAACAGGCAACCGCCCAACGAATGTCGCGGAAATCACACACCCGCAACAAAGCACGCGACGCAAAATCATGTCACGTGGACCCCGCCGTCAGAAGAACGTCATGTCAACCGTTTGGCCGGCACACGGTACAATCAATTGACAAAACAGAGAAGTAAGGCAGGCACTCAATCAAGGACTCTCCACACACACACGGCTCTTTTGATGCCAATGCAGCTGCCACGGGCACGGTATCCGAGCGGAAAATGACAAGCAGTAAAAAAGGCCTCGCAAAAGGAAACCAATCCACACGTCCATATGCAAAGCGCCACTCAGGCTGCTGCGGCTGCAGGGTCTGTGGGCAAAACGCGCCTTACTGAATCCCGCCAGTTATGTCAGTCTCCCCTCCCACCAGTGTAGCGCATAATGCACGGTTGCGTCCACAGGCATCCACTCCCGGTGCCCTAGCAACACTTCAGAAACGAACGCAACAGGAGTAATACAACGAGCACCACACTATGCCACCGCAACAGCGAGCACACCACAGGACAGCAACACGCCACGCAGCAATGTTTTGCTATTTCACACAATTCATTTACCGCACACACCAAAACACACATAATGGGAGAAGCGAAGTATCATTACACAATGCCGAAGCAAATAAATAAAAATAAAAAATCAAAACCACACAGACCCCTCGCACAAAAACACCACACTATTCTCCAGAAAAAGTCGAACAAATTGTTATCCCAAAACCCATTAAAACACGCGTTGTGCCGCCACATTAGCAACCAACACAAAAGAGAAAGAGTGTATACAGCATATCCCTGGTAAAAATTATAAAGACAAGCAGAGCACATAAATGTATATCCTGATAGGAAATGCCAATTGATATGGGCTTTTCTCTCTTGCAACCACTGCTGAGTGCGGGCCACGCAGGACTCAACCGCAGTCGCCTCGTCGTGCAGCGGCATCCATGCAGCCACCCAATAGAGTTTCGGCACGGCGGCGGCAGCGGAAAGGGACAAGCAGCAGACAGGGACAAGCAGCAGCAGCAGTGTTATTGCAGTGGATCGAAGGCGAGGCGTACTTCATGTCTGCCTCCCACCCCCCGCGCCCCACCGCTGCATCATCCTCCCTCGGCGGAGGGTCCACGGCGCCGTGCGCGTCATCAGCGGCATCAGGGCCCTTGGGTCCCGTGGCTGCGGCGCCGCCACCGGCCTTGTCGCTGGCGGCCTCATCTCATAATGATTGTCCCACAACAGAAGTAACACCATCGGCAGCCACATCGTCATTGTCCGGAAGATCGCGCTTCTTCTCCGCCTCCTGCGGCGCACCCGCGGTGTCGCTGGGCAAGATCACTCCGTTGCCGTCGTGGCACCTGGGGCGACTTCCTTCTCCTCTGGCGATGGATGCTTCTGGGGAGCAGCTGAGTCGACATCCCTCGGTGGCGTGCCGCGACCGGTCCCAATGCTCTCTGGATCGGGGACGGATGCCCCTGGCAATCCTTGTTCAGTATATGCCGGTGAAACCGTCCTGCTCCACATGCTCTCTCCTCGCCGTCCCACGGAACCACTGGAAGTAGGCTACCGCTGGTGGCGGATATCGTGCACACCTGCGCGTGGTCACGGCAAATAGCGTTTCCCCTCGTCGTAGGGTCGAGTGGCCCACGCAATCGTCGCCCCGCCCGTGCATGAGACACAACGGACGTTACCCTTTTCAGTCACTGCTAGATGCAACTGCACGCCGAGGCACCTCAATGCCGCATGCGTGGCAGCAGTCAGATGTGTCTCCTCCGGGTCCCTCGCATCTGTCGTGTTGTTGGGAAGCGTGTCCAGACACCACGAAGAGGGCTCATCCCCAGGCACCGCAGACAAAGATTCTCCCTCCAAATAACAGCCTCAATATCCCTCACATCCAGTGCAGGATCAGTGATGGGGCAACGGTCCATCGGGCGTTTGGCTGAGCTTCATGGATACTCCGTCTACACAGCAACCACTGGAACAACGATCTGACGCGCTGCGTCTGGCAGAAACGCCCAATGCACAAAGCATGTGTGAATATTCACTCATGTTCGGTGCGGAGCGCTTCCTATGCTGCTGCAGCGCACAACCAATCGGTGCCATTCACTCATCCCTCGCGTGGCGCTGCAACCAGTGCGACTCCAGCGTCCTCCCGTCCCCATTGTCATCCTGCAGCTCCATGCCATCAGTGTCGCCGCAGTCGTGGTGCTCCCTCGCTGCCATCGCGGCAGTCGTCGAATCCACCACCGACAGCGCTCTGCCACGCACACAGGCAACATTCCTCACCATGCTGCGGCTGGCCATGTGCAGGCAGTTGAACCCGACAGCATGGGCCATCAAGTGCGCGGCGATGCGTCCGTGAAATGAAACTGACGGGCAAAGTACATGGCGCCAGCGACGGCACGGCCATCCTCCAGCGTGGCGAAAAGCAGTGCCCACACACCACCCGACGCTGCAGCTACGCACAGCACCGTTTTAGCATTGGCAACACCAGCGGAACAATGCCCAGCAGGCACCGTGAACCAACTGCAAACGCTGCCCGTGGCAAATGAGGACACAATCAACGGACCCTCCATTGGCCGGACGAGCAGACGATCCGCATGCAGTTTGACAGCAGCAGGGACAGTCTCCTCGGCAAGAAGGTTACCGTTCACAGAGGACGGAACACCATCCTGAAAGTGGCGATTGTCATTCAATGAATTCATTGCGTAACACCAGGAGAAGCCGCAATACTTCCTGCTGTCACACGGGTCTGTTTTTGACGCCTTAATTCCTATGGGCACCCATGGGTCCCTCCAAACGCCGCTGCACAAATGCAACGCATCCTGCGCTCTGAGGCACGTCTCCCACCACTCCCGAAATCGACCTCGCCGTGGGAGCGCACAACATCGTCACGGAATAAGGAATAATTCAGGGAGACAAAAAAGCAACCGCCGACAAATCACATCGCAAAGATCATCACAAACAGAAGGAGCAGCGCTGGAGGCCGTAATATTAACGTGAATCAACCGACCCATGGCGTATGTAAAGAAAAGCTAATTGACTCGAGAAGAATACAAGAGGCTGGTACTCTCCCGGAAGAATAGAAACAATATGAAACAAAAAAAAATTCAAGTCTCCAAAGTCAAACCAAACTGCCAATCAAAAACGCGCGACAAAGGTGGACTCAACCACAACACAATTACAACAATGAAAAAACAAAAACAAAGTGTGGGACGACCAGCGCACACACACTCTCATTGCTCCCGTAAAGCAAAACACACACACAGAGGGAGAGAGAGAGGTCGCCCACCCAATGCAATAAAAACAAAACAAAAACAGTTACGGTGCTCCGCCCATGCAGCCAGGCAGGACGGCAGCGGTGCGTGTCGTGCAAAAGAGAGCACCAACGGGCCTGCATGGGTGTGCATGCATATATACAATGGGCACATTATTGTGTGTGCTTCGTGGGGTGAGATGAGGGCGAGAGTCCATGCAAGGGGACACACACACACAGAGAGAGTGAAGGACGAGTGTGCGTGCGGGCGGTGCACGGCTCTCTCTCCCTCACTCTCACGCGGCCACCACAGCAGCAGCAGCCGCACACGCAACAACAAGAAGGAGAAGCAAAAGAGGGGAGGTGGTGTGGGAGACCGCGGTGCTGCTGTCACTGTCGGCAGGCGTCGCCGTACCATTTTTGTGAGCGGTGGCGGGTTTTATTTCTGTTTGAGGTGCTGCCTTAGTGGCCGTGGAAGCTGGGTGGGTATCACCACCTTCAAGATCATCATGTGATTCATTCGGGTTGGGCCGCTGAGCATTGGCAGTATTCTCATCCGCCATAATCCGGGCTTCACCACTGCCACTTGTAGAGTTGGGTGATGCTGTTGTTTCTGCTTGATTGGTGGCAGGTGCATTCTCCGTCAAATTCTCTGTGTCTGTGGCTTGACCTTGTTGCTCTGCCACAATATCCTCTGAAGGGCGTTCCGGTGCAATGTACTCTTTTTTTGGTAAAAGTAACTTTTTATGCTCTTGAGCATTTGGTGTCTGTGAGTCTGTTGTTGCTGTTGGTGGTTGCCCTTCTCTTGGCGATGGTTCTGTTGCTGATGGCGGTACTTGTGTCCCTGGCGTTTCGTGTGGCGTTGGTTGTCATTTTGTTTCGCTGTCGGTGAATGACACGCTTGAACGGTCTTGCGTCGCCAAGGCTCTCTGCTGTGCCTCGTATTCAGCTGTACCTCTACCAACCACTTGGTTGGATGCCGTATCTTCTCCAGTGACGGAATGGATTTCTGCATCGTTTATTGGCTCCTTCGGTGTCTTCGCCTGGGACGGGACGGGACCTCCAGCTATTGTTTTTTCTGTATGCTTGCCCGTTTCCAAAGAATTATTCTTCTGATTGGTAGACGCATTGCCGGCGTGCTGTAGAGCAACCCCAGAAAAAGGAGCCCCCAAGATGGAATCTTCAATTCTATCGGTCCCGCCACCACCATGACTGTCAACAGATTGTGCCTGTGGTGATGCGTTTTGGTTTCCTTCTCCTGCTGGAGCTGCTGGCGTTGATGGTGGTAGAGTTTCCTTCTGTTTTGTTAAAACTCCGCTTGTCTGACTTCCATTCGGCTCATTTGTATCTTGTCCGTCTTCGCGTCGTCCTTCTTCACCACGTTCCGTTACTTCATCCAAATTTTTATTTTCAACCGTTTCTTCTTCCTCTTCTTCTTCCAAAGATCCTTCTGGGAGTGCGGGACGTCCTTCCCGAGATTTGTTTTGTTGCTCTTCTCCTGATGATTGTATTTTTGAGTCTGGCGCTGGCCCCGCATTTTTTGTTCCTCCCAGCCCACCTTCAGTACCACTCGCAGAAACATCGGGTTGAACACCATGACCTGCCGCCTCCCCTTCATCACACCTACCGCCGGCACCGCACCACAGCACGCAGAGGGCACACACCAGCAGCACACGGCCAGTCATCATCGCCATCACTCCCGTCACTTGCGTGTAGCCTTCAGCACAAACTAACTCCCCGTCAACGCAGAGTGAAAGCAAAAGAAAAGACACGGCACAGTAACAAACATAAGCAGCAGCAGCACGCATTTCGTGGGAAACATTAAACCAATAAAAATCAGAAAACGCACAACGCGCTGCAATGATTTAACAAGAAAAAACACACAAACAAAGGGAAAACAAAACTAAATTAAAAAATCAGAAATGAGAAAAGCAGTGAAAACACAAAAAACAAGCTGCACCAAATGGCGTCAGTGTGCATCCACACACAAGCGTGCGTCCACGCAAACAGTTGTATGCGTGTTGAACATACGAGTGTGTCCGGGATGCGTTCAACGTGATAAATGTGGAAAACAACGCGGAGCACACAGCAGGGCAGCGGAAGCAAGTGAAGCAAAACACAATCATTATTTTATCTTATTTATTTACATCGGACCACAGTAGACGTACACAAATCCCCGTGGCTGAGTGCTGGCACGCACAGCCCGCATACACCTCTTCAGCTCAGAGTGGTGTACGCCAGCGCGGATACGGCGAGCAGCAGCGGGGCACACACCCACGCAGAGCTGCTGAGGCTGCCGTCGATTTCACGAAGACGTGACGGTGCGCGGGTGGTCGTCGTGGTTGGCGCCTCTGTGGTCGTAGTGCTTGGTGCCTCAGGCGCAGTGGTCGTCGTCGTGGTTGGTGCCTGTGTCGTAGTGGTGGACGTAGTTGTCGTGGTCGTCGTAGTTGTTGTCGGGAGGTTATCCTCTTCATTAGGTCTTAACACTTCCGGATTCTGCTCTGTTTTTTTTACCACCGACTTACTGGAATTCTCCGTTGAACCTCTCGATTTAGTGTCAACACTTTCTGACTCTGTCTGTTCAGTCGCGCCTTCTCCATCTTCTGTATTGGACGAAACACCTGGTTTTCCTTTCTTAAAGGCCGCAACTGACTGATCCGCCTCATCGGAAGTATCCGCCTTCGGGAGTGTAGGGGCTTTTGAACCTGAAGACATGGTCTCCCGAGTTTGCCCCTGTGGTAGTGGGAGTGGATGACCGGTGGTTGAAACTTGAGCCTCACCACTTGCTGTCCCGCAGATGCACAGGCGGCAGCACAGGGCAAGCACCAACAGGGCGCACAGCAGACGGCACGTCATCATCGTGAGTGTGGTCGTTCAGTGGTGTGGAGCTGATCTGCACAGTGAGGGACATGGAGAGCAACAGGGGAGACGAGAGGTGCGGCAGACACACACAGAGGGCACACCACATGAGGAGAGGGCAGCAGCCAGGCATGCACCGTACGCCGCACACCACGCACAACACACACTCCAATCCACGGCAGCAGGCACACACACACAGCCCTGCCGCAACACCAACACACAGATGGAGGAGGGAGAAGCAAACAGGAGCGGCACACAAGGCTCCACCGCATGCACATACGGCGAGAGCGGTCCGTCGTGTCGGCACCCCTCACGGAGGGTACGCACACACACAAGAGGAGGTGCAGCGCACACAGCAACACAAAAGCAAAGTAACAATGGAAAAGAATGATCCCTGCACACCACGTGGATTGTTGGCCCACGGGAAGCGCAGCCAATATTCATCTCAAACACAGTTCAGTTGCCATCGGCCCTCGTTCATATTCAGCGCACACCACTTCATGCAGGCCTGGGCACCACCGCTGCATCAGCCGCACACTCAAAAATAAACGCAGCGAATGGAATAATGCAAGCAACCATTCATTTGTGTTTCTGTTTGAATGTTGACAGATGTCTGCATGTGCTTTTTGTTTTGTTTTGCAGAGGGCAAACCTTCATGCCTGGGGCGTGTGCTGGGGATTTCTGCAGGGTGCACAATTATTTTTCTTTCTCCCCTTGTGAATGTTTCTTGTGTTGGTGCAGCCAATAATTCGGTTTGTGTTGTTCCTGCCTTTCGCTGGTAAAGTGCTGCAATAGATGTTTTTTTTTCCTCTCGTTGCTGTGGCACCTGACTCCTCACCGTTTGTTGCGGTGGAAATGGAAATATGTGAGTGGACTCCCACACACCAGAACGCACCTTCGCTCCTATTTATTGCTGCATGGAAGGGCATGGTGTGTTTGGTGGTGTCTCAGCCATATATTTTGTGGGTGCACATTCCCCTGCAGGCCGAGGGCGGGATGACGCTCCGTCGCGGTGCACTTCCCTCGCATGCCGCCCACTGTGATTCGTCATGCATCACCCCCTCACATACTCCGTGGTGCCACACCGCTGATATTATTGCAGCCGCTGTGATTCCGCGTACTTCACGCATTTGATTGTGCCACAATACATCCGCTCGTGTGGCCGCCGCATCCAAACAGCGGTGCCCAACACCGTGAGCGGCAGTCCACATCCTTGCATGTCCCAACACAGTGGTGTTTGACTGTCAGCCAGGCGTCAGACAACAGGAGAGTCTTGTGCTGGCGGTACAGCACACGGAGGTGCAGTGAATGACTCGGGCGGCGACGCATCTATTCGTCGCAAAGCAGTGAAAAGGAGTCGGGCAAAATAATGCCGGCTGCATTCACGACACCACATCCACAGCCAAAGATGCGACGTGATGTGTGTTTCACTGGTGCTGTGAAATGCCTGCAGACGACGTCACTAGTGGAGGCATGCCACCCATGATCAGCGGACAGACAATAATCGGCATGGGAGGCCACAAAAGGCAGCAGCAACGACGCCAACAGCAGGAGCAGCTCTCTCTCTCTCTCTCTCTCTCTCTGTTGCCTCCGAGAAGTAAATATTCCACCAGCCACTGCTGACTGTGCCATCGTGACACTCCATGCACGTCGTGGCTGCGTCAACACATCCTGTTCCCTGCTGCGCCTCAAAAGATGCCTCACTCCGTCCACTAAGTGCATCGGTGTGGGCCGTACCTCGGCTGTTCGTGAGGACCACAACGATGTGAGGGTCACCGAGTCGCAGCATGTTTGTTGTGACGTTGTTGCATGGCACCTGCACACACACACGCAGCGCCTGCATCCCTCCCTTTTGTGTTCGCCGTCTGCCGGAGTGGCCACACACACGGGCAGCAGCAAAATGACTTCACCCTCGACGATCCAAAACCAACACCGACATCCCTCGCGACGCAAAGATCTCAGTTGCCAGCACGGGCCTCCTGTCGCTCTGCCATCGACGCTGAAACACGGCACAGTGCACGCACTTATTTTCCTCGTGTGCAGTCAGCCGTTTGCTTCACACATTCCTCGATGGGCTGACGCCCATAAAAGCACGCCACAAAAGGCCACTGTGATCGCACACGCTCTTGCGATGAGCGTCGGTGCGTGCATGGATCCGCTGCTCACACGTGCTGGCAGGCAGCCTGCAGCCGGTGCCCTCGTGCCAGTCCATCGGCTCCAGCACGGAAAAGAGAAAACAGCCTATTCCCGATGCACTTATTCCCACCAGCAGCAACAACACGCTGGTCGCCAGCCGTCATTCCTCAGCACATCCAGGAATGCCGAAAAGTGACGTGGAGCTGTCAGCCAGCAATGCCACAATCCCCGCACACATGTCGGCTCCACCAGAGAAGACACACAAATCACAAACAACACCCTCCACATGTCATCCGAACATCATCCCGACACACCGCGACACGCCAAACAGAAGTGTTCGTCACCCCAACGCACCTCCCCACACAATCACATGGTCCATGCACCACGCACGGCAGCAGCCCACACGTGGTCAAACAAATGTCCCTCGGATCAGTGGCCTCCACGTGCTGCGGTGGGAAGTAAACAAAAGAGACGGGCAGCCAAAACCCAAAAGAGTGCCACGACTGGCCGCAAGTCAACGGAACGCAGCCACCCAAATGAATTCAGTCCTCATTGCCCTCAACCTCCCACCTTCCCCACAAAAGCTGCAAAAGATTGAATACAAACGCACCGTCCAATAAACTCTTTGTGCAACACCAAAAGAAGCCGCAGTGCCTTATGCTGCCCTCACAATCCGTTGATGACGCCTGGATGCGGATGGTCACCAATCGATTCTCAAAAACGATGCCGCACACCCGCGACGCATCCTGCGCTCTGAGACACGCGTCCCTCACTATCGCCAGAGACGCCCACGCACCGTCGGTACGCAACAAATCGTCAAGAAACGAAGGATACGTCAGGCTGACAGCAAGAAATCCGCCGACAAATCACAGCGCAGACATCATCAACAACAGCACCAGCAGCGCCGCAGGCCACAGAGTGACGTGGACCAACTGACGCATGGCGTATGTCAACGAAAACATCTTGGTGGCGTCACAAGGATACAAGAGAATGACACTCTCTCAACAAGAAAGAAACAATATAAGAATACAAAAAAGAGTAATTAGGCGTCCACAGTCAAAGCAAGCCACCGATCAAAAAAAAAAAAATGAAGGAGTAATGGGTGCACTCAACCTCAACACAAGTAAAACAATGAAAAAAACAAAGGGCCGAAGCGTGGGACGACCAGCGCACACACACTCTCATTGCTCCCGTAAAGCAAAACACACACACAGAGGGAGAGAGAGTGAGGTCGCCCACTCAATGCAATAAAAAAAAACAGAAACAGTTACGGTGCTCCGCCCATGCAGCCAGGCAGGACGGCAGCAGTGCGTGTCGTGCAAAAGAGAGCACCAACGGGCATGCATGGGTGTGCATGCATATATACAATGGGCACATTATGTGTGTGCCTCGTGGGGTGAGGTGAGGGCGAGAGTCCATGCAAGGGGACACACACAGAGAGTGAAGGACGAGTGTGCGTGCGGGCGGTGCACGGCTCTCTCTCCCTCACTCTCACGCGGCCACCACCGCCGCAGCAGCCGCACACGCAACAAGAAGAAGAAGCAAAAGAGGGGAGGTGGTGTGGGAGACCGCGGTGCTGCCGTCACTGTTTTGTGTGCTCGTCGTATCAGTTGTGTTGGCGGTTACTGTCGTTGCTTTTGTATCTTCCCCAGTCCCTTCTGAGCCTTTGTCTCGGTGGCTTTGTGGTGTGGCTGCGGTCTCAGGCGACGGAACATTTTTTTTGTCTCCACTCGTGGTGTCTTCGCCATCGTGTTCGCGGGAAGCAACACCGTCTTCTGGAGGTGATGGAGGATTTCCTCCCGCAACTCCCCCAGGCAGTGTGTTCTCTCTGTTACCTGGTGTGTGTGCGTTCTCTACTGCAGGTAAACTTTTTTCGGTTTCCTTCTTTTCATCTACTTCCGGTTGCGAAGGATTGGCATTTGATTCCTGACTGCCGGAAGGTGAAATGCCCCCTGCAGGTACAATTGCCGGGTTGTTTTCCTGCCCGCTGCCAATTAAATTCTTTTCCCCGGAATTTGGGTCTGATGCAACTGTTCCTCCTTGATCACCCTGCCTTTCTATACTTTTTTTTTCTCCATCTTCCGTCTCTTCATGTTCATTCTCTTCACTGGCATCTTCTTTATCTTCATCCTCTGAAGATGTGGAAGGTACTGCTGTCTCTACAACACCTCCTGCTTCATCTTGTAAGTCTTGGGTGCCTTCTGGAGACGTTCCAGGTTCTTGTGATTCCGGCAGATGTTCAGCACTCCCAAGACCCGCCGTTTCTCCCCCGTCACATCTACCGCCGGCACCGCACCACAGCACGCAGAGGGCACACACCAGCAGCACACGGCCAGCCATCATCATCGCCATCACTCCTGTCACTTGCGTGCAGCCTTCAGCACAAACTAACAACACGTCAACGGAGAACAAAAGAGAAAAAAAAACCACCGCACAAGGACAGGTGTCAGCAGCCCAACAGCACTTCACACACCATGAGGCAGATGAAATCGGTGCGACTGCAGAACTCGCGCACCGCACCGCATGGAAGAAATTTAAAAAATAAAAACAGAGTTGAGAGTCCGTCAGGATACCCGGAGAAAATTAAAAAAAAATCCTTCGACAGAACTTTAATTTCATGTGCCAGGCAGCACAAGACAACCGTGTGTGTCTGTATGTATACATAACGCCCTCACCAGAAAAATGAAATATAAAGGATCGTACAGTTCCACCAGTCCACACAACACCCTCACACTTCACTGCGGCATCCGGCCTGTTCCTCCAATCCTCCTTTCGTGCAGTCCGTGGGACGCACAGCAATGAGGCCGGCACCGCGTGTGGGCAACAAAAAACAAGGAGGAGAAACGCGTCACTCATGACAGTGTGCAGCAACCGACCATTAAATAAAGGAACAGCAACGATACTCATTATTCCAGGAAATCAACAAAGCCAACAGTAAAATGTAAATAATAAAAGTAAACACGCATGCAACACGGCACATGTTCTCCGTGAGGAGCCGCAATTCCACACTCTTCGGCTCACAAGACCGCCACAACTCCACACAATCCCAGAAGAAGCAGCAACACCCAATACACGCGCACACGCACAGTGCCGTCAACAGTCAACTCGCGCAGTGCCAATTTCGCGTCGTTGAGCAGGGCAAAGGAGTCGTCGGGACTCACACCGCTCCCGGAATACTGCGCGGTGAATTCTCGCAATTGGGGTTTGTTTTCGTGTCCAGAGGCATTGCGTTGATCCAATCCGTCCGCATCACCCTCAGCAACAAACCCACTGCCTGCAACGCCATTTTCTAAAACGAGAGATTTGTGTCCAGTGGAGTTGTGCTCACTCACCTCGTCCGTGTTATCCGCAGCAACGTGTTCCCTGCCGCCATAAGTGACAGACATGATCCCGGATGCATTCGACGCCACTAATATTCTCGGACCGTTGGCAAAGGAAGGTCTCTCCGTGGATGCATTCGGGACCATCACTTCGTTCGGATTGCTGGCAAACTCAGGCCTCGTCTCGGACGTGTTGGTCGCCGTGTTGGATGCGGGACTCGGATCGACGGTGTTGGGTCCGTCAGCCGCCGCAGACTGTCGCCAATCCTCGTTCTGACGTGACGGCTCAGCATTCACTTGCGGCGCAGTTGTCCCACCAGATTTTGTGTCATCCCTCCCTTCACGGGGTGGCGGCAACTGACGGATGCCCGTCTGGTCAGCATCGCTGCTCCGTGCAGGCGGATGGATGGTTCCATCGGGGAAAATTGACGCCACCACAATTCATAGGGCCGGCGCATTTATGTGTCGTCACATTCATCGTGAAGGCAACGGTGGCCCCTTCCTCTTTCCTTGCACAGCTGGCAGCACAGTTGCTGCATGTTTGCACCGCATTGGCCACATGGCACACAGCGCCCAGCTCACCATTCCTGCCATGCATGCGCACACCAAAGCCACTGAAAGTATAATTCTCATGCTGAGCCTCAGCACCGGCAGCAGAACAATTCTTCCACGCCCATACACACACGCACGCGATGGCTCAGGCTGCCGTCACTCGGAGCACACGACACATCCGCCGGCACAACCACTGCATCCGCATCACCAGATACATCTCCAGGACTCCCATTCGCCGTCACGCACACGGACGAGCACCCACCACACCAGCCACACGCGCAAGCAAACCCTCATCCATCATGACGCGGCAACAAAATTTCCAGCCATCCCGTCCTCAATGGGATGCGGAGCCCAACTCAACGCACACACACGCGGTGCTCCACACCCGCAGGAAAGGAGACTCGGGCTGCGCACTCCTTCCTTCTCCTCATGGCCACGGAAGAAGACAACAGCCGCCACACGCAACTGCCAGCATGCACTACAAAAGAAGCATTCAAATCCACTGCAATGTGCATCTTGTGTGGTTGTGTGTGTGCAGAAACACAAAGCAAAGAAGAAGAAAAAAGGGAAGCAGAGTATGTGGAGAGACGCAACAAAATGTACAGCGGAGGTGCACGGCGGAAGCAACAAGAAGAAGACCGCCCAAACTCACGATTCCACCGCAGCCCAAGAAGTGGCAATTCACACAAGATTTATCCAAAACCAAAAAAAAATCTTTCCCCCTCATCTTACACAAACCGCATCACACAAAATAATTATAAATAAAAAGAAATCGTCCATTACTGCTCCACACAAATTTTAAAAAGCAGCCGGCTGCCGTGTGGCCACACCAAACAGTCTGCATATATTTTGTCCTCCAAAAGAAAATTAAAAGGATATTTAAGTGTCTTTCAACCGTCCGACCCTCTGCGTGTCCGCACATCGTTTATATTTCATGGGGTCATCTGCGTGTTGCTGCTCCCCTCAGCCCTCCCATCGGCGCGTGAGTGCGGCCCGCAGAGCACAGTCACTCGTGTGTGGGGACTGAGAGAAGCACGCAGAAATGATGGCAGTCGCGTCACTCCATCGGGAGAGTGAGCGCAGCAAAAGAAAAAATCATCAAGAGGGAAAAGAAATGCTCACGAGGCCGACACCGAAGGGACTGCCGGCGCATGAAATGCACACGCAAAGCAAAAAATCCTTAAAAACACGGCGGCAGGGTGTGGCTGTGTGTGTGGCGCTGCGGGTGTCTGCCCGCCCTGGCCGCAAAGAAAACAAAACAAGAGGGGAAGAAATGTGTGCTCCGCCCCACAGGCCCTCGTCGCACGCCCACACGTCACGGCTCCCTCAGCGCGCCGTTCGTCGCGGCCCCTCCTCATGCGTGCAGCAGGCGAGGCGCACAGGGCCGTCGTCATGAGCGTGTCGGTGGGTGTGCGAGTGGAGCAGTTGGGCGGGAAACACACGGCACCCCTCGCAGGAAGAGTGCAGAAGAAACAATTAAAAGAGGGAAGAGTAGAAAAGAAAAAGCGTCCACAGTGATTGCCCCCGAAAGCAAAAAAGAGAAAATATGGGGACGTTAGAAAAAAAAAAATGAAAATTACAAACACATAAAAGAGAAAAAAAGAATTTTAAAATAAGAAGGTATCAAACATTAAAATAAATTTAAAATGCCCCCAAAAAAAATATTTATGAAAGAAATTTGTTATCGGGGAAGTATTTCTGTGCATGGAAGGTCGCAGGTATTCCACGCGGCAGTCAGTCACTCCTCACAGAGCCGCAAACACCCACAGTCCCAACAGAAGAAGCATCGATGGCAGCAGTCCGCTGCAACGCATGGTGCCGCCATCGCTGTTATTCCCCTGCGACACATTTCCAAGGCTGCCGTTGAGTGCCGTAGCATTTACTTCCCCGTTATGTGGCTGTACCTCTTCCTTCTGCCCATCCGTTCCTCCTTCTCTTTTCTCCATCGTTGGCTGGCCATCAGCAGTTGAACCGCCATCCACGGTTTGAGCTCCATCGGAAGTTTTTCCTGACGCCACCTGCTTTACGGAGTCCTTTCCTGCTGATGGAATACTGACAGCGGACACCGCTGATGTGGATGCACCGCCACTGTCCGCACCACTGCTCCCCATCGGCTGCCCCTGTTCCGTCAGATGTGTTCCGGCGGGAGTGGACGAAGTTCCGGTTATCTGAGCAGTTGCGGCCACCGAAGGGATGGGAGTTACACGGGAAGCAGAAGGAACTGGTGAAGGCGACGACGGCTCCTTTACCAAAGGTGAAATGGGGAATTTATTCGGTTTGAGGTCGTCAATCTCTGCGGAACTCAACGGGCGGTTGTACAGTAGGACGTTCCTCACAGTCACAGACACGCCTTCTTGGCCCTCTGCGCGGCCTCCATCCCCTCCAATGTAGAAGTGTGAGATCTCCTTCGAATCCGCAATTTTCAGTACACATTCTTCATCCCCACCCACAGGCTGACCATCGACGTACGCAGAGCTCTGGTTGCCGTTCCGTAGCAAAACTACCACGTGTTCTGATGTCTTTGTCTCCCAATCGCTGCTGTACTTCTTGTTCTCTCTGCCATCGCACAGTAATATCCATTTCTTTTCTTTGTTGTTGTACGACAGTCCCAAAAGAACTGGATTCTCATTGTCATTCATCTTCGCACCCATCAATGGAATAGGGGTAACTCCCTCCTTCGGCTCACCGTGGAAGGACACCGTCGCCACAAGAGTGAATTTGTGGTTCGCAAAGTGGTACAGCTGATTCTCCCCTTGCTTGCCAACAGGCCACTCCGCCCACGCACCACGCCCTTTAAATGTTACGCCGTTATCCGTTTTCTCCGCCCCATTCGTTACTGTGGCGTTCACCCCGAGGTACTCGTCCTTCCATGTGTCATTAGAGAAGTTGCCGGACAAAAAGCCAACCAGCCCATCCGTGATCGTACCAGTAGTGCTGCAGGCAGTGTCAGTTGAGGTGTCCTCCAGAGCATTCTCAGAAGGGCACAGCTTGGAGACACGTTCGTCCACTTCCTTCCAGGTCGTCAGCACCTCCCTCACCCGCTTCAGCTGCTCAGTCAGAAGCACTGAAACCATACCGGATGACGATTCGCCCTTCTTCTTCTCGTACAGTGCAATCAACTCCTCTTTATTTCCTTGATCTCCATTTTCAACACTTTTGTACAGCAGGGAGCTGGCGGCAGCGTCATCTTCACCGGACACCGGCCCAATATCAACAATGTGCGTATTGTCCGTCAGCCAAAGATGGAGTACGCCCTTTGGATTGTCTTTTTCTCCATTCTTTGAATACACCGGCAGAGTGACGAGCATCACGTCCCTTTTATCAATCTTCGCTGTGCTGAACCCGCTCCCAACGCCCTTCTCTCCTTCACCCTTTTGTTTGTTGCCCCACACGCGCGAGAGTGTCCCGAGTGCCTCCGTCCACGACTCCCCCTCGTCACCGGACTCGTACACCCTGCGGCGGCCATCACACGCAGTCATCATCATGAGTTTGTCCTCCCACTCCACGACGGAGGGATCACTGCAGCCATCGGCAGGCACCTCCTTCGACAGCGTCCAACCGGCAGTCTCCTTTAAGAACATGATCAGCGAAACCGTCCTTGTCTTTCCATCCTTTACATTCTTCGTGGCCTCCACCGGGAACAAAAGCGTATCGCCGTCCTTCGTCTCAACACCCGATCCACCGCCGCCAATCAGCCCTGTTAAAGATTTGATTTGTTCGTCAAAAGTGTTCCGCGCGAGAAGTTTCGTATCGTTCCAGTCAATTTTTTTGCTTCTTCCTTCACCACTGACATCACCTTTCAGCAAAAAAAGTCCCGAGTCATCTTCACCACTATCCTGAACACCAGCAGCATTACGGTTGTGTTTTCCAACAAGCATGTAAATATTACTTCCCTTCACAACTGCTGTTGGTCGGCTCACATCTACTTTCTTCTTCGCCTTTCCAGAAGTAACTTCCTCCAGAACTTTTGTATACTTTTTGCCATCCTCCAGAACCTCCTTCGGTAAGTTATCCGCTGCTTCCGTGAGAAATCGGGATGCAATGCCAGTAAAAACGCTGTTATCTTCATCCTTCTTGCACTGCGCCTCGGCAACGGCAAATACATCACTCCCCACTTTCAAAAGGCCGGGAGCACCCAACGAATCCACAGTTACATCATCATCAGTGATGTCCTTCCATTCAAACTTTGGATCAGACGACTGCTCCACCTCAGCAACTTGCGCAGCTCCACCAGTGCCACAGCACATCGTCACGACGAGGAGGAGCAGCACCGCAGAAGCAAACACACGCCGGGACATGTTGGGCCTCTGCGGCTCACTCTCTCTTCCTTCCCTCCTCCTTCCGCTGGATCCGGTCACGCGGCGACGGTTGTGTGTGCGGGGTGCCTTCACTGCAGCAACACGTGAGAGCATACAAATATGTGTGTGTGGGCGGTGTGTGTGCTGTTGGTCCTTTCAGTGCATTCGAATTTCACAGTAGCGATTCGCGCCTGTTTGCTTTCCTTTTCAAGTGTGTGTGTGTGTGTGTCAGAAATGGGGAGAAGAGCACAGGGAAACACATTAGACACGCCAGTGGGGTGCACAGCATGCCACTGCAGCAACAATCATTTATTCCCACCACCCATACACAATGAGGTGGAAGGGCTGTGTGTTTTTTCAAAAAGGTCGACGCACAACCACCAACAGACGTGCCAGCGCTCACAGCCAAAACAAAAAAAAAAGGGATACCCGCCTCGTGGGCAACAGGACAACATCTCCGGCCCACACAAAAGCAGCGGAAAAAGCACTAAACAGACAAAATTCAGCGGCACACACGCCAGACTCAGCTGTGCCGCACGGAGCCAGTCGCCTGCCCTGTTGCTGAGAAACACGGCATGGAATATCCGCCGGCCATTGCGTCGGGGATGCACGCCAAGCCGTGCACAAAATCCCACCAGGACCCAACGCATTAACTCTAGCTTCGCGCACATCCCCACAGTCGCATCCTCGCCATTCCGAGCTGTGCCTCAGAAAGTGGTGAAGGGCAGCGTCGAAGGAGTCGAGCGCCTCCGCACCGCCGCGGGGCATCAGACTGAATGAAAGGCCAAAGTCCTCCACACTCATCACAGACGCGTCACACGCGCCGCCGTACTTCTCCCTCATGGAACGCCAATCAAAAGCAAATGTCGGCACCGTCATTCCCAGGGCGGCAGCGTGGCCCAATTCAAACGCCGTCCCGCAGTCCGGCCCATCCAAGCAAAACAGACACAGGTCCGCAATGACGGCGTCGCGCCGCCTTACCATCTCCATTTTCTTCACCCACATCTCCCCAGCCCCTGGGGCCACGTTGTCAGCGGGAATGAGCGGCACGGCGACGTGTACCCACAGAGCCGTGCGCACAAGATCCTAGCACGCCGCACCCGTGTCCGCGTCGAACACAGCGGGGCCAGCAATGTACACCCCACTCATTGTGAAACTGCTTCCTTGGCTCCTGTCCTTCCGCTCCTCCAAACGTAGAAGAAAAGAAAGCGGAAGAAGTAAATCAAAAAACGGCGCCGTCGCAACAAGGCAGAAGCACGAGGAGCACCACTCACGCAGGACAGGCGTCGCTCGCAAGCAACGGAAACACAAGTTGAAGACAGAGGATGCCAGGAGCACAAAAATGCAGGCCTTCTCGGAAGAGTGCGCCCTCAATAAAATGCACCCGCAGCAAACAAATTAAGAACAACTGTGACGTCGCTGACGCGGCAAGCGGCAGACAGCGACGGCCAAGGCGCCGCTGACGCTACTGCATTCTCCACATTCCGCTCCGCCGCCCTCGCCCAGCGCCCGGCGTGGAGCGTGACGCAGAAACAATAAAAAATGAAAGCTGCCGATCGCATCGTTAGAGTGTGGAGGGTCCACGTATTGCGGGCAACGGGCCCACGCACGTGTCGTCCATGCCGCCTACATCAAGACACCTCGGAGAGCAGAAATACGGCCTCCACGCCGTCCAGTGCGTTGCTGGGGCGGCACGGTAGTGGTGAGGCAAACACACACACACACACCTCATCCACAACGCGGCAAGTGAACGGCAAAAGAGCACAGCAACCACAACACCAAACTCCACACACGCGCAGAAGGGAGCGCGCACAGCCCGTCACTTGTTTTCTAGTGAATGTGTGCGTGGGATGGACGCCACACCAGCAACAGCTTCAACGGCATCGACGTCTCATACAATACAACACTCGGCATTCCACCTCGTGACGCCGGGCCCCAAAAAAACAATATGTGGGCGCAGCGCCTCCACCCTTCAAGCCAGAGGCACGGCGCATCCAACAAACCCGCCTTCCACCCCATCGTGTGGGCAAGACAATGCAGCAGGAAGCCAACCCATTAATGCCAGCAATACAATCCCCACGCGATGTGCACCACAGTGTCAGCTGCGTAAGCATGTGCGAATTTCAGACAATGCAGAACAAAAACAAAAAACGCATTGAAGGTGCATAGTGGTCCGAAAGAAATACATATATCACAGCCATCCTCCGTCTGCAGCACGGGATAGTGGCCGCACGGGCTGCAGTTGCGGCCGTACTCGCACGCCTTCAGCGTTCACAGCGTGTGCAACATGGCGTTTGTATGTGTGCATGTCAGCGCCTATACTTGCAGAGCAGATGTACGCACAAGAGAATTCAAAGGGAACAAAGGGCAGAGAGAGAGGGATAGCACACACGCAAATTACTCATATCATTACCCGCACGCAGCCCGCGGAATGGGTGCACTCAACCGCAAAATCAAAAAGGAAAACAAAACAAAAAGCCGAAGCGTGGGACGACCAGCGCACACACACTCTCATTGCTCCCGTAAAGCAAAACACACACACAGAGGGAGAGAGAGAGGTCGCCCACTCAATGCAATAAAAACAAAACAGAAACAGTTACGGTGCTCCGCCCATGCAGCCAGGCAGGACGGCAGCAGTGCGTGTCGTGCAAAAGAGAGCACCAACGGGCATGCATGGGTGTGCATGCATATATACAATGGGCACATTATGTGTGTGCTTCGTGGGGTGAGGTGAGGGCGAGAGTCCATGCAAGGGGACACACACAGAGAGTGAGTGAAGGACGAGTGTGTGTGCGGGCGGTGCATGGCTCTCTCTCCCTCACTCTCACGCGGCCACCACCGCAGCCGCACACGCAACAAGAAGAAGAAGCAAAAGAGGGGAGGTGGTGTGGGAGACTGCGGTGCTGCCGTCACTGTCGCCAACCTTTGTCACCGTACCATTTATTCTGGCAGTGGCGGCTGTTTTTGCTGTTTTTGGTGCTGCCCCACTGAGAGTTGGAGCAACGTTGGTATTGCCGGTTTCAATACTGTCGTGTTGTTCTTCAGAGCTTTGAGCATCATCCTCATCTGCCTTATTCTGGACATGATCACCGCTGCCACTCGCAGATGTAAATGAGGTTGTCGGTTCTGCTGGACTGCCGGTTGCTGCATTCTTCGTCGGATCCTCTGTGGTTGTGTCATGACTGTGCTTCTCTTGTGTAGCATCCTCTGAAGGCTGTTCCGGTGTTTTTGATTCCATTTTGGGTCCTGACGGCGTGGCTTCTTTCGTTACCTTTTTTGGATTCTGTGCGCTTTCTTTTTCTGCTGTTGGGCATCCTTCACCTGCTGTTGATGATGGTGCAGGTCCATCCGATGGTACTGGTGGTGGCGGTGGTGGCGGTGGTGGCGGTGGTAGGGGTGCTCCCTTATTATTTTTACCCTCTTGTGCCTGGGTTGTTCCTGTAATTTTTTCTTCTTTTTCCTCATTGTCATCACTATCATCATCATCATGAACCTCTTCCTCTAGAGGTGGGGAAGATTCGGGTGGCACTTTTACTTTAACATCTTGTGATCCAACTTTTAATTCTTAGGTGTCTTGTCGAGACGTTACAAGTTCTGCTGATCCCAGCGGAGGTCCATCATCACCGGCAGGAACTGCCTTCCCCTCCTCGTCACATCTACCGCCCGCACCGCACCACAGCACGCAGAGGGCACACACCAGCAGCACACGGCCAGCCATCATCATCGCCATCACTCCTGTCACTTGCGTGTAGCCTTCAGCACAAACTAACAAACCGTCAACGCAGAGTGAAAGGAAGAAAAGGAGAGACAAGTCACACAGCCACGCGCACTGCAAACAACGGCACCAGAAGCACGCACACCAACCTGCAAAACAGAAGTAAAAAAGCAATACCAAAACAAAAAAAAAAGTAGTTGAGTGTCCAACAGGAGTCCCTCCGCCAAAAAAAAAAAAAAAAAAAAAAAAAAACACACCTCAGCAGAATTAACATTTCATACGCCATGCAGCAGATCAGGTCTGTTTGTATATATATAATATGGCCGCAAAAAAAATAAAAATAAAAAAGGATCGTCCTATTCCACCAGCCCACACAACATCCCTCACATTTCATTGCGTCATCCGACCTGTTCCTCCGCTCCTCCTTTCGTGCAGCCCGTGGGACACACAGCAATGGGGCCGGCACCGCGTGTGGGAACGAAAACAAGACAATAGGAGCACGTCACTCATGAGAGTGTGCAGCAACCGACCATTGAATAAAGGAACAGCAACGATACGTATTATTCCAGGAAAACAGAAAAACCAACAGCAAAATGTAAATAATAAAAGAAAACACGCAGGGAACGCGGCACACGTTCTCAGTGAGGAGCCGCAATTCCACACTCTTCAGCTCAGACGACCGCCACAACCCCACACAATCCCAAAAGCAGAGGCAGCAGTGTTTCTCCACCCACAAGATGATAATTTCGCTGCCGTCCACCGTCGGCAAGGACAAGTCAGCTTCAAAAGAGATTCCTCTGCTCTCTCTGACTTTCTCGTTGTTTAAAGGAGATGTGCTCTGTGTGGCGCTGCTGCACAAACTGCTGTTTGTCGGCTCCTTGGCGGCGGGGGCGGGTGCCCGAGGGCCATGGATGCTGTCCCATCGCTGTACGCATCGGTGGTGTTGGGCGTCGTGAGGTCAGGATTCATATATTCCTCCGTTCCTACAGAATTATTCGTGCCGCCGTAATCCGAGCAGCTCCTCGCCGCAAAATCGCCGACTATCGCATTGAAAGCTTCCTCTTCTGTTAGATCTTGAGAGTCTGGCTTCCTACCAGTACGACACGCAGTCCAGCTGCTCTCGCCGACTGGGCGCCAGTGCACACCGGAATCTTTGCATCCACACAACAACTCCGTCTCCACACGCGCCATACCATCATCATCGTTTTCCGCGTACACGTGCGAGCAGCAGCAGTAGTAGTATTATTAGTATTAGAGTGGCTGAAGTCGGTAAGCAGATCTGCGCACAGAGCGGAGAAGAGAAAGGCAAAGGGGAAATAGAAAGAGGTGCAGCAAAAAGACACACACACACACACACACATCGTCGCAGCGTCGCCGTTGCGTGCGCGGTAATGATGCGACCTCCCGCGGCAGGCACAACTCGCACACTGCACGCACTGCAAAACGGCATCCACACAGGAAACACACACACAACGACAGAACAACCACCAAAAACTAGAAGGAGGAGAGAACCACAACCATCTCCCACTAGTTGCACAACAAAAGGCCCTCCACTTTTTACGCGAGACAGTTCCTGCAAGCTTGCCATCGTTCCGCTCCACGCTCTCAGCGCCCACAGTGGGATCCAGCACATCGTACAGGTGAAAAGCGAAACTTCTCTCACTCCCGTCGGAGAAAACAAAATTACCGTGACGACAACAACAACGGTGCAAGGGTGTCGCATAGGATGATACGATGGCGTTGTTGACGTCCAGATAAATGACGCGTACCCTCGGAAATACGCGTGGAAGATATGGCACGTACGACTGCAGAGTTGCGTCCGCAGATAAAAGGCATTCGGAGCCAACCCTCTCTTTCTCGGTGGAAAAGATGGGTCAATAATGTCGTCAGAGAGGCAACAGTGCAGGAGGCAGGGTAGAGCAACGTACCGCACACAGGAAACAAATAATTGACTGTCTCATCCCTGGAAAAGTACAACCAAATTGGCCAGGGTTATCTGGCTCTCTGGCGATGGCACATTCAAAAGAAAACTCACAGTATTGAGGGGACTCAAAAAGCCCCAACGTGCGTGCTGCGACTCCACGAGAATGTGGACGGTCTGCATGTGTCCATGCGAGTCACAGCCGATAGGCGCATTATAGGGGATGCTGCTTGAGTGCGCCAAACGACGGTTACTTGCCTCATGCCACGTCACAGGCAGGCCGTCCCTCATCAATCCCTGCAGGATTCGCCTACACCCCTCCAAGGAGTACTGGGGGCATCCGTTGCGCTGCACGCGGAGCGCATCATCTTCTACAAAGAGTCTATTCACTAAAAGGCCGCGGTTAAACAGCCCGTCCACAATAATCCTCAAAGGACCGCCACCCACCGCGTGCTGAGGTGGAAACGCACGTGATGAATACGTCTCCGGTAGGTTTCATCGTGAATACACAACCGCTGTTCCCTCCGTCACAGCATCGTCATCAACACAGCAACCACGCGCCAGTGCCGGCTCTGTTGGGTACAATGGGAGAGAAACTCCCACTCTCCAAGCCATGATGTCAACGAGAGAGTCAGATGGCTGCTCTGCCATGGCGATAAAGTGTCCCATCAGGAGCAGCAGAATATCAGAGTCCAGCCGATTGAAAAGTGGGGCTGTCACCCCGCCAATAAGGGAAATGCGCGCCACCACGCGATGCTCCGCTGGCAGTCCGCCTCCGTATTGTGTTCCCTCAGTAACGGACTCTGCGTCAGCAGCAAGTGAGGCAAACTTCGGTTTGCTCCGCCCGAAATTCCCCGGCATTTGCTCAATTCACCGCCATGGAAAACCGGCGATGTGCAGTGGCGGAGCATTGGATCGTTTCGGCAAACAAATTGGAGAAAAAGGGCTCAAGCACACACACAAGACTCCCAGCAAGAAAAAAGGAAACACGGCGTGACTGACACGACTCAAAGTCATGTTTCTAAGACAATGCGTGGATGACTCCGTCGACGCCACACCCGCACCACATGCCATCAACGCCTCCACGGCAATAATCCTGCGGCGTGCGGAGAGGACGTTTCACGAGCGCATTATTGGCGGAGCCAAACAACTGTACCGTCAGCAGAGGGCAGCGGTCGGCGAGGGAAAGTGAAGGTGGTGGGACTGTTGGGGAGGGTCGATGCGCAGTGTCCCCCACAAATACGAGGCGGGTGAAGTGAAACACACTCGCCTGAACGTCACCGGCCACCAAGATGCATTGCTTCCTGCCGTGAATATTGATGAGCTCGAGGCTGGAGCAACTACTCGTAATGCGTGAAAGCGTCTTCCTGCACTGACGCTGCGATTCACATTAGACGGGCAACTTCAGAACAGTCGATCCCCAGCAGTAAAATGCAGCTGGCAATGACGCTGTGGATTATCGATTCCCCCGGGCAACGGAGGGCGGAGAAGACAACTGGTCTCCCCAGCTGCGCGGCATCCATCCATTCACTCTGTGCGTCCGGAGTGCCCCGCAGCTGCCTTGAGAGATGCGGCGGACAGACCTCCCTTATTTTCGCTTGCATCCGTCGACGAAGACTTTCGCGGAGGCGTCGGCACACACCGAAGTCTCCCTCGTGTCTACCAAACAAAAGACGCACCCGTTGAGCATCGTCACGTGCGTCGACGGCCACGCAAGTAAATATCCACCACAACGCAAAGTGTTTCTTATTGGGCACCAAAAGAAAACTGGAGGCAGCGGCCTGGACAACACAGACATCAAATCATCCGCCAGGCAACGCTGAGATACATGCGAAAGGGCCAACGCGGGACCAGCAGCACAAACACTCGAGAGCTGCTGCGTGAACTCCACGGTAAATGGATCAGCCCCAACGCATGGGGCACTAATTACGGCGGGTGACAGCGCGAAAGCCAACGGTTCCGCAAGGCCGGGAATTGTGGGAACGGCATCCAAACCCTCCTGGGAATTGTGTACAAAGACACGCAAATAATCCGCCCCTCGGTGCAAGTCGTCACCATAATCCTCATCGCTCTCCTTGCCGTCATTCGTATTGTCACACTCAGAGCCGGTGAGGGAAGGTGCTGCCATGATGATTGTGGCATTACACTGAATGAAACAAAACAATGCCTCGAAGGGCGCCGAGTGCAGGCATCCCGTCAGGCGGCGACACGTTGCATTCTTAGCAATGCACGAAGCAAAGGCAACGAAACAGCTTTCATCCGCCATCGTAATCTCGTCCAGCAGCTTCGCCCTCTTGTTCCTCGGCGCCTCGTCCCTCTCCGCAGCACCAACAGCCGCAGCCATAGACCACGCTCCTGCCGCACTCACTCCCACAGAGAGACAAGGAGGAGAGTGTGTGGAAGTGTGTGCCGAGAACACAACGACTGTCATCGTCGGAGGAGACCATCGTGCAGCGTCCGTCACGCGCCAGCACACACCGAGCAACACACACCCGGCAGTGCAAAAACATTCTTGCAGAGCACTGTGCAAATAATATGCGTGTGGGTGTCTGTTGGAGAAGATGAAAAGAGGAGCACAGGGAGGCAAATCAGCACAGCAAGAGGCACAGCTGCATGGCAGCGATACATGCAGTACGGCCCCAATCTCAAAAATCACGCACGGTGGCAGCACACACCATCCACAAAAAGCAAAGAAAAAAAACAAAAACAAAAAATGTTAAAAACACGGCGGCAGGGCGTGGCTGTGTGTGTGGCGCTGCGGGTGTCTGCCCGCCCTGGCCGCAAAGAAAACAAAACAAGAGGGAAGAAATGTGTGCTCCGCCCCACAGGCCCTCGTCGCACGCCCACACGTCACGGCTCCCTCAGCGCGCCGTTCGTCGCGGCCCCTCCTCATGCGTGCAGCAGGCGAGGCGCACAGGGCCGTCGTCGTGAGCGTGTCGGTGGGTGTGCGAGTGGAGCAGTTGGGCGGGAAACACACGGCACCCCTCACAGGAAGAGTGCAGCAACAAACAATTAAAGAGGGAAGAGTAGAAAGAAAGAACGTCCATAGTGATTGTCCCGAAAGCAAAAAAAAAGAGGGGATGGGAGATGAGAGATTTTAAAAAAACAACAAACACATAAAAATGAAAAAAGAATTTTAAAAAAAGAAGCACACATTAAAATAAATTTAAAATACACAAAAAAGTAAAAGTATCAAAAATATTCTTTCCAGAGGAAGTAGTTCGGTGCTGGAGGTCGCAGGTATTCCACGCGGCAGCCAGTCACTCCTCACAGAGGCGCAAACCCCCACAGTCCCAACAGAAGCAGCATCGATGGCAGTCCGCTTCCACGCATGGTGCCGCCATCGCTGTTATTCCCCTGCGACAAATTTCCAAGGCTGCTGTTGAGTGTCGTAGCATTTACTTCCCTGTTCTGTGGCTGTACCTCCTCCTGCTTATTTTCTCCTGCCGTTTCCTCATCCTCAGCTGAGCTCGCGCCCACCTCAGGTGTCACTGTGGTTCCATCTTGCCCCACGTCCATAGTTGTAGGACCATTTGCATCTGCTGTGGCAAGGTTTCCCGTAGGAGTTTTGAGTGGTCCATCCTCCTGCGTTTTATCTCCATATCCTGTGTCCACCGTTTGGTAGCCATCAGCATTAGAACCGCCATCCACATTTTGATGCCCATCAGGAGATGTTCCTGACGCCAAATGCTTTACAGACTCCTTGCCTGCTGGGGAACTCGTTACAGTGGACAATGCGGATGCACCGCCCGCACCGCTTTTCCCCAACGGCTGTCCTTTTTGCTCCTTCTGCTCAGCAGAAAAAGATGGAATCACGTTTCCTTGACCATTTTTGTTCACCAAAGGTAAAATGGAGTCTTCATTGGGATTGAGGGCTTCCATCTCATTGCCATCCTCCTCCTCCGCCTTCCTCTGGGCGTCAACGCTGTCACTTGTAGAGATGGATGATGGTGTTGAATCTCCTGAACGGCCTTTAGCTGCATCCTTCATCGAATCGGATGTGGTTGTTCCTTCACCGTGTTTCTCTGCCTCAGCATCCTCTAGAGACGGTTCTGGTGCCTCGAGATCCGTTTTGGTTTGTGACGGCGGTGTGTTTAGCTTCTCTTCTACTGAATTCCGTAATTCTGCTGGTGCTAGTGGGGTTTCTTCTGGTGGGAACGCCGGTACTGGTGGTGTTGGCGGTGATTGGGGGGCGCTGGAGGCGTCTCTCTTCACCACCTCACTCTGCCCTTTCTCGTTTTCTGTTGCATCCCCATTAGCCTCTGTTCCTCCTGCTTCTCCTTGTTTATCAGAGATGTGCGTTTTTGTTTCGGGACCTGACTTCTCCGGTGCCTTCACGACAGGCGAATCGGACTGTCCAGGCGTTTTTGTTTGTACTGACGGACCACTTACCTCTGAAGATACCTCGTCATCAGAAGTGAGCGTATCGCCAAGGGACTGTGAACCATCACCCTCTTCGGAAAGAGAATTTGGAGAAATACCACCAACAGACGGAGGAGTTTCCAACGAAGAAATCATATTTCCTTTGGGACCTTCAACAGAAAGAGGCTCCAAAGAGGAATCTACGTCAGGACCTCCACGTGAGCCACCTTCACTTCCAGCACTGTTGCCACCACCAGAGCCGCCACCAACAGCTGCCAAACCCTCAGCGCGTCCAAAAACCGCACCGCACCACAGCACGCAGAGGGCACAAACCAGCAGCACACGGCCAGTCACCATCATCGCCATCACTCCTGTCACTTGCGTGTAGCCTTCAGCACAAACTAACTCCCCGTCAACGCAGAGTAAATGCAAAAAGAGAGCGACACGACCACAGCTAATAACACACAGCCTCAGTAACAAACGGCAGCAGCGCATACACCACGATACAGAGAGAATCGCCACAATGGCGGAATTCGCACACCGCCCCGCATAGCAAAGGTTCAAAAACACAACAGCAACCAAAGGAAAAAAGAGGATGAGGGTCCAGCAGGACTCCCGGGGAACAAAACAAAGCAAAAAAAAAAAAAAAAAACAGCTCACAGCAGAAGTTTTCGTTTCATTTGTCCCAAGGCATACAGGAAATGGGTACGTGTATACATATTGCCTGCAAAAACAAAAAATGATCGTACTGTTCCGCCAGCCCACACAACATCCCTCACATTTCATGCGGCATCCGGCGTGTTCCTCCAATCCTCCTCTTCTGCAGTCCGTGGGACGCACAGCAATGGGGCCGGCACCGCGTGTAAGCAACGGAAGGAAACAAGGGGAAGAAACACGTCACTCATGACAAAGTACTGCAAACGAGCATTGGGGGAAAACACAGGGATGCTGATTATTCCAATAGACCAAAAGCAGCAAAAAAATAAAAATAAAAATAAAAGAAAATAAGAAAAACTTAAATTATTGACAAAACTCAGTGGGTAATGCTGGGAAGCTGCACAGTTATTGTTCCACGAAAAGCCGCAGTTCCACCCTCCCTCACACCTCAGCAGAGCGCCGCAGTGCCTCACAGCCCCAGAAGCAGAAGCAACAACACCCGAGACACACACCCACGCACGGTGATGTCACCAATTTCGGCCATGGCCAACAAATCCTTGAAATGCCCGTGCTCACAAAAAAACCGTTGCTCACAAGTGATGCTGCGTTGTGCTCCGATGGGATCTCTGGTTTCCCAGACGTTGTGCGCAAATAATCCTGTGCGGCGTCACCGCCACACGACAAGTTATCACTCGTTCAACATTTGCTAGGACTGTGATGGGCTCAGGCGTGGCTGTTGTACCATCCAAGGGCATTAGATCACTGTTGCTGAGTGAATCGGGATCGCTGCCCGTGCCCATGGCAGTGCGGGCATACGTGTCCCATTCATGGCCAACGTGTTGTTATTCGCTGGCAAGCGTGTTGGCGGTGGACGGCTTGTCGTCTCTTGCTGAGCATGCGTCTAGATCCGCTGCGCTGCCACTTGATTCCCCGGACGGCCGAGCTCCCTGTGGGGCCTCACCGCGCAGCTGCTGGCAGCCTTGCGTGCTCCTGCCGAGCGGAGTGTCCTGTCACTGAGCTTGGCCACAGACAGTTTTCAGTTCCCCGCCTGGCAGCATCCCGATCGCCCACTCGAGTTCCTGTCGCCACAGACTCCCTTTCGGCGATGGAGTCACTCCGCCTCGGCTCGCTGGCGGTGCACGATGGCATCACCGAAGAGATTAGCATGATGCCGCTTTCACTGGCGGATCGAGGTCGCACTGTTGACTCCACATTTTCCCCACGACACTGCGGAATCCCACGCAACGCGACAGCGGACGCTGATGCCGTCATGGCGCGATCCCTCCCGCAGGACTGCGTCAATGCCTGGCACGTGGGCCTCCTCATTGCAGTGAAGCGACGGAACTAAAAGAAATTCCAGGAGGAAAATGAAGGCGCGCACACCGCGTGACAGGCGCTTGACGGTGTGGCGGAACTCTGTTCCTGGTGTTGACCCGGACATCGTGCCCGAGTGGCGGATCCCCGCGCAGGCGCGATGCGACACCTGCCCGCTCTTCGACAGGCCCGCACGCGCCCTGCGGATCACAAGTGGCCTCTGTGTCGGTGGCGCCGCTCTTTCTCACTGCGGTGACCGGCCCGCCTCTGCCTCCGCCGGAACCTCTTCCAGAAATGAGCGCCGCAATTCCTTGCCGACCAGCGAGCGGCGGATTGCCATTCTCCTTCCCTGTCTGCGGCAGAGTACGCTCGTTCATCCGCAGCGTGAGGGCACATGCCTGACGTGCTTAACCTGGCGCTCCGATAGTTTGAGAATTCCTCAATTGCAGATGCCACAATGGTTTCATCGTTTTTTTAGCAGGCACCTCGTGCGCTGGTCGCCACCGAAGTTGCCAAGCACGCCAGCAGGCAAGGCACGCAGGAAGCACAAACGCGGACACTCGAGATGGACCAGGCCCTTCCGCCACCGCCTCGTCACACACGTCACGCGCTGCTGATCCCACGACGGACCACGGGAGACTCCGCCTCATCCGCTTTGGTAATGTCCCGTCATTGGGAATAGGATTGTGACTGTTTGGGACTGCCCCAGCCTGCACGACGGCCCGTTTGCGACGGCATGCTTACCACGTTATTGCTGACGGCCTTCGCGTCACTCACAGGTTATTGTAGAAGGATGCAAACAAGGCAACATAATAAGCTGCTTTGTGATGAATATTGGCTGAACTTCCATGGACCAACATTACACGTGGTGTGCGGGGGTCTTCTTTTTTATTGTTACTTCGCTTTTTTGTTGCTGTGTGCGCTGCACCTCCTCTTGTGTGTGCGCACCCTCCGTGAGGGGTGCCGACACGACGGACCGCTCTCGCCGTGTGTGCATGCGGTGGAGCCTTGTGTGCCGCTCCTGTTTGCTTCTCCCTCTTCCATTTTTTTCATTTAGGTTGTTGGTGTTGCGGCAGGGCTGTGCGTGGTGTAGCTGCCTTGTATTTCTTCTTTTGTTGCCTTCACTCTGCGTTGACGGGGCGTTAGTTTGTGCTGAAGGCTACACGCAAGTGACAGGAGTGATGGCGATGATGACTGGCCGTGTGCTGCTGGTTTGTGCCCTCTGCGTGCTGTGGTGCGGCGCTGCGGTGGTAGGTGTGAAGAGGTGGAGACGAAAGCTCTTGGTGGTGGTGGTGAACCTCTGGTGCAGTCACAAAAAATTGGAAAGTCCCCAGAAGGGCCTCAAGACTTAAAAGATGGACCACCAGATATTAAAGGAGAAGTACCACCCGCTTCTCCCGGACTTAAAGCTGAAGAAGAAGAAGTTGATGATGAAGATGAAGGGACGGAAGATGAAGTAAAAATTACTGAAAGGCAGGGTGGTCAAGAAGTAGTAATTGCACCAGACTCAGATTCCACGGAAACGAATTTACGTGGCAGTGAGAAAGAGACAGGCCAGTCAATTGTATCTGCAGGAGACATTCCACCTTCCGGCAGTCAGGAAGCAAATGCCAATCCTACGCAACCGGAGATAGAAGAAAAGAAGGACACCGATAAGAGACCACCAGCAGTAAAGAACGCACTCACAACAGTTAACGGAGAGCACACACTGCCCGCGGGAATTGCAGGAGGAAATCCTCCATCATCTCCAGAAGACGGTGTTGATTCCCGCAAACACGATGGCGAAGACACCACGAGTGAAGGTAAAAAAAATGTTCCGTCGCCTGAGACCGCAGCCACGCCACAAAGCCACCGAGACGAAGGCCCAGAAGGGACCGGGGAAGATACAAAAGCAACGACAGTAACCGCCAACACAACTGATACGACGAGCACACAAAACAGTGACGGCAGCACCGCGGTCTCGCACACCACCTCCCCTCTTTTGCTTCTTCTTCTTGTTGCGTGTGCGGCTGCTGCTGCGGTGGTGGCCGCGTGAGAGTGAGTGTGAGAGAGCCGTGCACCGCCCGCACACACACTCGTCCTTCTCTCTCTCTGTGTGTGTCCCCTTGCATGGACTCTCGCCCTCACCCCACCCCACGAGGCACACACAATAATGTGCCCATTGTATATATGCATGCACACCCATGCAGGCCCGTTGGTGCTCTCTTTTGCACGACACGCACCGCTGCCGTCCTGCCTGGCTGCATGGGCGGAGCACCGTAACTGTTTCTGTTTTGTTTCCATTGCATTGAGTGGGCGACCTCTCTCTCTCTCTCCCTCTGTGTGTGTGTTTTGCTTTACGGGAGCAATGAGAGTGTGTGCGCTGGTCGTCCCACCCTTCGGCTTTTTGTTTTATTGTTTTCTTGTGTTGTAGTTGAGTGCACCCATTCCGCGGCTGCATGTGTGTGTGTGTGATGATATGAGGAATTTGCGTGTGTGCTATCTGCCTCTCTCTGCCGTTGCTTTCTTTGAACTCTCTTGTGCCGCACAGCTGCTTTACAAGTGTAGGCGGTGACAAGTACCCAAACACATGCACACACACACACACACACATGTCATGTCGCTCTGTGGACCTGCTGGAACGCTGAGGACGCACGCATTCACAAGATTCCGACTGCGGCGGCCCTTACGAGGACGGAGGATGGGATACCGCGATGTATCTTGTTGATGTACTGCGGGCGTGGAACTGAAGACGTGGAGCCAGTGAGTGGTGTGGCATTGGTGGTGCCTGGGAAAACTGTGGATTGATTCCTGCCCAGCAGCTGCACGTGCCGATGTGTATCTCCCGCTGTGGATCTGTCGGCCGAGGGATTATTTGGCTGTGCGGGTGCGAGGCAACAGTAAAATGACTGGTGAGAGCGCGTGGGCTTTGCAAAGGACGGCTGTGTTCTCTTGCATCCCGCTGGTTGTTTTTTTCGTGCGTGGGCGTCGCTCGGTGTGTGCTGACGCGTGGCAGAAGCGCCCGCCGTGACTCTTGCTGCTGCTGGTGGCAGTCGCTGTGTGTTCCCGGTGTACTGTTCTTCCTTCTCGTTCCGTGTGTCTGTGTGCGTGAGTTGTTGTTGTTGGGAGTGACTGCGGCGGGGATGATGGTGCCACTCACTGTGGATGGGTGGCGGTGTTCACTGTTGTACCTTTTTTTTATTAGCCTGTTTTCTTCATTTCTTTTACACTCTTACGAAGAAAGTAAACAAGCGCTAAACGCCACTGTGAAATTCGAAGGCTCTGAAAGGACCAACAACAACACACACACCGCCCACCCACACACATTTATATGCTCTCACGTGTTGCTGCAGTGAAGGCACCCCGCACACACAACCGTCGCCGCGTGACCGGATCCAGCGGAAGGAGGAGGGAAGGAAGAGAGAGTGAGCCGCAGAGGCCCAACATGTCCCGGCGTGTGTTTACTTCGGCGCTGCTGCTCCTCCTCGTCGTGATGATGTGCGGCACTGGTGGAGCTGCTGAGCCAACGTCACGTCAGGAATCTTCACCGAGCCCATCTTTTGCTTGGAGAGACAAGAATGATGAAACTGTGGGTTCTTTGCGTGTTCCAGTTCTTGTTGAGATGGATGGTGATGTGTTTGCCGTTGCCGAGGCGGAGTTCACGGAAGCCAGTGACAGCGGTTTTACTGGGATTGCCTCGGAGCTCTTGACGTTAACTGATCAGGAATCAAAAGAATTGGGTAAAGCCCAAGTGAAGACACAAGTACTGGAGGAATGTCTTTCCCAAAATAAGAGTTGTGCCTCCCAAACAGGGGCTCAGGAGGATTCCCAAAACCGGAAAAAAGTACATGTGAGCCGACCAACAACAGTCGTGAAGGGAGGTGATATTCACATGCTTGCTGGAACCTATAGTTTTGAAGTTACTGAAGGCGTTGATCAGACAGCTGCAGCAGCTAAATGGGGACTTTTGGTGGCGAGCGGCAACGTCAGTAATGATGGGAGCACCGATAAAAAAAAAATTTATTGGAACGACGCTTACGTTATCCCGTGGACTGAATTTGAAAAACGACACGAATCCTTGACAGGGCTGATTGGCGGCGGCGGATCGGGTGTTAAGATGAACGACGGTACGCTTGTGTTGCCCGTGGAAGGCACGAAGAAGAATGGAAAAACCGTTTCGCTGATCATATACACAGCCACTGATGGTGGGAATCTGTCGAAGGGGATGTCTGCCGATGGCTGCAGTGATCCCTCCGTCGTGGAGTGGAAGGGAAAACTCATGATGATGGCTGCGTGTGATGATGGCCGCCGCAGGGTGTACGAGTCCGATGACAAGGGGGATTCGTGGACGGAGGCACTCGGGACACTCTCGCGCGTGTGGGGCAACAAACAGGGAAATGAGAAGCGGGCTAGAAGCGGTTTCATCACAGCGAATATTGACGGTGTTGAAGATAAGAGAAATGTGATGCTTGTCACTCTGCCGGTGTATTCCGAGAAGGCTGGCAACAAAAAGGGCGTACTCCATCTTTGGCTGACGGACAATACGCACATTGTTGACATTGGGCCGGTGTCCGAGGAAGACGACGTTGCCGCCAGCGCCCTGTTGTACAAAAGTGTTAAAAGTGGAGATCAAGGAAATAAAGAGGAGAAGTTGATTGCACTGTACGAGAAGAAAGGCGGTGGGAGATCATCACCCGGTATGGTGTCTGTGCGTCTGGCTGCGCAGCTGAAGCGGGTGAAGGAGGTGCTGGCGACGTGGAAGAAAGTGGACGACCGTGTCTCCAAGCTGTGCCCTCTTTCAAGTGCTACTGTGAGTAAATCAACTGACAATGCCTGCAGCGCTGTTAAGATCACGGAAGGGCTGGTTGGCTTTTTGTCCGGCAACTTCTCTAATAACACATGGAAGGACGAGTACCTCGGGGTGAACGCCACAGTAAAGAAGGGAGCGAAAGAAGTGGCCAGCACGGATAACGGCGTGACGTTCAAAGGACGTGGTGCGTGGGCGGAGTGGCCTGTTGGCAGGCAGGGGGAGAATCAGCTGTACCACTTTGCCAACTACAACTTCACTCTTTTGGCGACGGTGTCCATCCACAATCTGCCGAAGGGAGACAATCCCATTCCATTGATGGGTGTGCGTCTTGACGGTGGAAAAAAACTTATGGAGTTGTCGTACGACAGCGGAAAGAAGTGGCGGGTGTTGTGCGGTGACGGAATGACCAAGAAGCTTAAAAGCACTTGGGCGAAAGAGACACAGTACCAAGTGGCCATTGTGCTACAGAACGGAAAACAGGGCTCCGCGTACGTCGATGGTCAGCGTGTGTGTGGGAGTGCGCAACGTGGATTGGAAGCAACAGAATCGCAAGAGATTTCCCACTTCTACATTGGAGGGGATGGAGGCAGCGCAGGGGGCCAAGACGACGTCTCTGTGACTGTGAGGAACGTCCTGCTGTACAACCGCCCGTTGACTTCTTCTGGCCCCGATGCCGAAGTGGAAAAAGATGTTGCGTCACCAGCGGGAGCTGTTTCTCGTACCAAAACAGGGGACGAAATAAAAACGGAGGGGAAGCCTGCCACCACACAGCAAGTGCCGACGGCTCCGGGGTCACATGCCGTTGGAGAAGCAGCGGGCAATGCCGGCACTGTGCATGGGAGCGGCCTGCTGCCATCGCTGCTTCTGTTGGGACTGTGGGGGTTTGCGGCTCTGTGAGGAGTGACTGGCTGCCGCGTGGAACAACTACGACCTCCCCACCACAGAAATATTATTTCCATAGGAACAAATTTCTTTCATAAAATCTTTTTTTTTGCTTATTTTAAATTTATTTTCCTTTTTTCTACTTTCTTGTTTCTTTCTGTTCGTTTTTTTTTTTTTCATTTCCCCCATCACTTTTTAATTTTTTTGCTTTTGGGCGCAATCGCTATGGACATTTTTTTTCTTTTCTACTCTTCCCCCTTTTAATTGTTTGTTGCTGCACTCTTCCTGTGAGGGGTGCCGTGTGTTTCCCGCCCAACTGCTCCACTCGCACACCCACCGACACGCTCATAACGACGGCCCTGTGCGCCTCGCCTGCTGCACGCATGAGGAGGGGCCGCGACGAACGGCGCGCTGAGGGAGCCGTGACGTGTGGGCGTGCGACGAGGGCCTGTGGGGCGGAGCACACATTTCTTTCCTCTTGTTTTGTTTCTTTTGCGGCCAGGGCTGGCAGACACCCGCAGCGCCACACACACAGCCACACCCTGCCGCCGTGTTTTTAAGATTTTTTGTTTTTTGCTGCGCTCACTCTCCCGATGGAGTGACGCGACTGCCGTCATGTCTGCGTGCTTCTCTCAGTCCCCACACACACGAGTGACTGTGCTCTGCGGGCCGCACTCACGCGCCGATGGGAGGGCTGAGGGGAGCAGCAACACGCAGATGACCCCATGAAATATAAACGATGTGCGGACACGCAGAGGGTCAGACGGTTGAAGGACATTTAAATATCATTTAATTTTTGGACGAAATATGCAGACAATTTCTGGAGCAGGATGGTAGTTAGGTGCTTTTTGTGTGTGTGCTTTCTTTTACTTTTTTTTTTTACTTTTTTGTGTGTAGCCGTAATAGAGGACTAATTTTTTTCATTTTTTTTCTTTTTTCTTTTTTTCATTTTCTTTTTTTCTTTTTTTCTTTCCAAAGTGTGAGGTGTGGAAGTGTGAAGATGAGTTTTATTTATTTATTTTCATTTATTTTCTTATGTATTGCCGCTGCTTTTTCTGCAGTGCAGTATCATGAGTTTGAGCAGTCTTTTTCTCTTTGTTTCTGCCATGCACTTCTGCTGTACATTTTGTTTGTGCGTTCCCTCACATGCTCTGCTCCTGTTTTTACTTTTTTGCCTCGTGTGTCTGCAGGCACACACAACCACATGCACGCACAAAATGCAGATTTCATTCGATTTGGATGCTTCTTTTGTAGTGCATGCTGGCGGTTGCGTGTGGCTGCTGCTTCCTTTAGTGGGCATGAAGGGAAGGAGGAGAAAGGGATCACGCACCGCGAGTTACTCTTCCTGCGGGTGTGATGCGCGTGGTGGGCTGCGACTGCTGTGGAGGGCCGCATCCTTTTGGTGTGCGCTTCTCCGCCATCGTGCCGTGCGTTTGCGCATGTCATTTGTTATGTGCGTGCGTGCTGGGCATGTTTTCCCGGAGCGTTGGGCGACTGCCATCTGTCTATGGCGGCTTGTGTGAGTGGGCACGTGCGGATGAGGGTCAGGGCGCATGGAATGAAGGAATGGCGTGAGGAAAGGGGAATTTGGTTTGGGGGGTATTTGGACCGGATTCATTTGGCTGCGGTGGACACATGCACGACGGATGTGTTTCCGCATAATGGGGAAGGATGCGACAGGATTTTCCGAAGTGGCCCGTCAATGCAATTCGGGTTTCATGGCACTGAAGCACAGTGATCTTCCTGCAATGGCTGGTGAGGGCCTCTAGTGGACCGGTGTATTTATGCTGCTGCTGCTCGAGGAGGCGTAGAAGTGCGATTTGAGGTGAGCGGCGGAAGGGCCACACATCTCGCAGTGATGGTCGTCGTTGGCCCAGCGGGCGCCTCTGAGGGTTTTGTTGGATGCAACGTCCTTATGCCCGTCTCCGGATGGCGACATCCCTGATGCAGCCAACGAACGGGGCTGGGAGCGACGGTGAGACGCAAGCACGTGTGGATGTTCGGAGCGGCCGGCGCACCGCACGCTGAGAGCATGGCGCGGTGGGGGCCGGACCCAGAAAAGGGACACCGCGTGGGACGTCAATCTTCACTGCAGCGACCGCCACTGAATTCGGATTTGCTCGCAACTTCTGCGGTCCCTCCTCCTCCCCTCACTTCTGTGCCGAGGACTGTGCCGCGGGATCCAGCAGCGCGATGTTTGGCCGCAGGGGCATGGCTCGAACAAATGATTTGTGGGAGGGGGATGTGCACTGCGACGAGAAGGAAGAAAATGTTGCGAGACGACCACCACTGCAAGACCGGAGTGAAGTTGTGTTTTGTCCACTTGCGCGAGGGCAGCCTGCCACCTGGTCGGTTAGGAGGATTATTTTTTTTCGTCTTTGCGCTCTCTTTTTATTCCGCTGCGTTTTCATGCGGACCTGCGAAGGGAGATTTGCAAGAAATTCCTGCGAGGCGTCCGTGCCGTCGTCGGAAAGGCGGATTCCCCCTTGAAAACCGCTACCTTTTAAATTTGTTTTGGGCGGGGAGTTCCTGTCGATTCAACGCGAATTTGTTTTGCGGATTTGATGCGTGTGTTTCCGAGCGGTTCGGTCTGTGCTCCCGGCCCACTCGGATGTGGTGTGCGCGTCGACGTGAAGGTGCCTGCCAGCCGTTTTATTGCCTCCCCCGCTGTGGCTGCTGCCGCTGCCTTCTTCCCTTCCTGAGGTCCTGCGGCTTCTTGACAAGATGTTTTGGAGAAGGCGTTGCCGCTCTTATCGTCCATGGTATTTTGATTCTGGTGTCGCGGTCAGGAGACATTGAACGAGAGGGTTTGCTGCCCTCCTGTTTTATTTGTCCTCTCTGCCTGACGGCCAGTTCTACACTGAAGTGCTCCTCGGCACCTCAGTTGTCACTGGCAATCGCATGCGCCAACTCTTCTCTGCTCCCTTTCAGTGTCGCATTTTATTGATTGACGGACGCCATTCTGTCCGGAGCGCCACTTTGATTGGATTGTGTGGGACTGCTTGCCAACGCCATCGGAGAAAGCAGGTCAACTTTTCACGTATTTAATTGCCATCTTGCGCGCAGGTGTTTTTTTCACATGTTCTGTTGGTGTGCACTCAAACAGCGAGGAGTCCGGAGCTATGCGTGCGTGGGATTCTTCCTGCCATGTGAACTGCGGGCAGCACCGAGGGACTGCCACTTTAATCCGCAGAGTTGTTGTGTCTCTTCGCGGGGTTTTCAGGAGAATTCCATGCAGCCTGCTGCTGGTGCTGTGTGCTTTTAAATGCCACTCCATGCGAATAATGTGCTTCAGCGAGTGAGGGTGTTGATTGGGTTTGTGTGCACTCGGATTCTGTTTGCCACTTTGTGCGGGCACGCAACGCTTGAGTGGTGGGAAAATGGAGCGGGGCGATGCATGGCCGCGTCCAGCCCATTGTTCAGTGCACGATAGTGTGGTGCACATTGTGGTGCTGACTCTGCGATGTGACTGCGGTCCCCTGCGCGGCAATGGCGGTGGGTGGAGGAGAGTGTTGGCCCGCGGCGTGGCGGTGGGATCGTGTCTCCTTTTCTCTTTGTTCCTTCCCTTTTGTGAAGGTGTGCACTTATTTTTGGTGTCGGTGATGGGGCAAACAGACAGACAACGTGAATAAAACAAAATAAAAAAGTGCGATAGTGTGGCGGTGTTGGGGTTGGTTGGAAATTGCATTGCTACGAGGGCGGTGTGTCTTGGCTGTTTTGCCCACAGGCGTTGCAGTGCGGCTGCATGGCGCAGCGACCACCGAGCCGTGCGAGTGCCACGCCCAACGCCATTGGGACTGCGGGACTAAACAGCCGCGAGTGTCCTTGGTGCCAGCGGCACCTGCTGGCCGCAGTTGGGCGGTGCGAGTGGGATGCCTCACCGCACGGGTGTTGTGATGGCACCTCGCCGTGGCTCTTGTGATGGTTTCGACGCTGCAGCTCGACATGTGGTGGGAATAAAGTGTGGCCGCAGTGGACCATGAGCAGCACCAACATGAGGCTGAGTGATTTCCCTTGGAATTATGTTGGCGGCAGGGCGGCCGTTGATGAAAGACTACAATGTGACGATGGAGGTGTTTTTTCAGGAGCCGGATGATTACGCACAAGACCAGCGGCTTCTTGAAGAAATTCTTAACCTAAATGCGCACCAAGCGCTGGAGGCCATTACTAAGCCTCTTCACGAAGGTGTTCTCTCTCTCGGGTAACGTAGGGACGACGAAAGAAAAGGATACGATCACTCCTCTTGCAAGAGGAAAACCAAACGGAGTACTCACGCAGGTACCGACAGAAGCGAGGCGGGAGGCAGAGGAAAGGCTAAGACAAACGCAAGAAATGAAGTTTACCATTTCCACTAATATCGAAGATGTACTGTTTAAAGGAAGAGTTCGCGTCAATGAAATGAGGCTGAACGACTTTCTTACGAGGGAACTGGACGGCAGGGGCTTTGTGGACACCAATCGGGATGTCTTGCTGGAGGAGTTTTTCAAGGACCCCACGAAGTATAGCCGTGATAAAGGAGCGTTGAACGAAATGCAGGCATCGGATCGTTATTTGAGTATGAAGCGAGCTGTGAAGGGTGAAGTGATCTTCGATGAGGATATACGCAGGCTTTGCGATAAGGGTGTCAACAATCTACCGGGGTGGTCATTGGCTGCTGCGGAGGTAAAGGCAACTGTTCATAAATTCACCAAACATTTCTTGGATGCAGCTGCCGAGGAGGCGAGGAACCCAACGACGACGAGCGCACCGGAGAAACTGGAGGGATGCTACGAGTCTCTGCACAATGCGAGGTGGAGCCATGCGGTGGAAATTCCGGACGGCGTGGAGCGAAAGAAAACGGGGACGGGAATGGGGGTGCATGAGGGGAAGCCAGAACAGTCATGGTCGTACAAGAAAGCTGACGATGATATCGAAGAGAATGACGCTGTGCAGCAATTCGGTGCAGCACCTCCCGTGTTGATGGTGCTTGCCTCGGAGAAGGGATGGCCGTACTCGTGGAATACGATACAGGATCTTCCTAAGGACGTTTTTGTGAACTGTGAGGTGGACCGAGTGTGGCAGATCGTCAAGGGCGATGTAACCGCGTGGTTCAGTCCTCACGGTGGGACCGACTTTACGCCCGAGCGACGTGTGTTGATTGGGACGCCCGGGATCGGGAAATCGGTGGCTGCCGGCTCGTACCTCCTCTACCAGCTGCCGCACTGCGATGCCAAGAAACTCCAAGTGGTAGTCCACTGTTTTAGTGGAGGAGATGCGTACATGTTTGACAAGACCACCAGAGCGGTGACAAGATGCAGCGATGAGGACATGTGCATCTCGGAGTTGAGAGGTTTGAGGGGGCATGGGAGGAATGTGTATATTATCTACGATGTGGCAAAGGAGGGAACGCCGCCACCGAGACATTTTGCGCCTACTTCTGGATGGGGCATGATTGCGGTGTCATCCCCAAAGGTAACCAACTATGATGAGTGGGCGAAGCAACTACAGGCCGCGCGAATCATCGTGAATTGCCCCGACGAGGTGGATGTGAAGGCGATGTGCGCCTGGAGAACGTGTGATGAGACTAAAGAGAAACAAGCGGAATGCTGGAAAGAGGTCAAAAACACATGTATCTTTTGGGATCGATTCCACTTCACGTCTTTGATGAGGAGGCGTTTACGGAACGCTGTGGAGCGGTGAGGTTTGCATTGCAATCGATCAACGAGGTAACTGTGAAGGAGTACTTTTCACGGGGAGGTGAGTCGCCATGGTATTCTGAGGATCCGTCCCACAGGCTTGTGAAAGTTGTTCGGGAAATATACGCAGGCGGTGTGACCCTCTTCAATGCACCGATATCTGCTTGCCTCGAGGAACGGACATTGGAACGCCTCCCAAGTGTAGCAAAATAAAATAGCTTTTTGAGGCTGATGTTGGCGTCGAGGGATAATATTTTGCCAATGTTTTTTGGATGGTTTGCTTTGAAGTCGTTCACGGAGAGTGCCTTTGCCAAGGCAATGGCGACGAAACTCACGGAGTTTGAGCCGCCAACAGGACGTCAAGCAAAGCCCTGCGTCTTGAAGTTGGCCCTGAATTGCATCCCAAGGGAGATGAGGGTTTGCTGCCGAGTGAATATGAAAAAACGATCCGTAAAATGAAGCACGGGGTGCTGTGCAAACCGTGGGCCACAAAATTTCCGCTGGTGGCCGCCCTTTTTTTTCTCGGAGTCCAATCCAATAACGCTGGTTGGGCTGCGGATGGCCACGGCGGGTGGGCGCCACACCACCGCCAGCACTGTGCGGCGGTTCACTGAGTGCCTGGCGGCATATTTTAATGGTTGGGAGGAATCATCCCGAGACTTGTCGTGGGAGATTATTTATGTGCAGCAGACAGCACGCCGATGAATGACTGGCAGAGATGTGATGTCGTCAATTCAAATAATGTGAGCGACGATGAAAGCCGCGGAATAGCGACGTTTTGGAAGGAAGAGGAGCGCCAGTACCAAGTGTCAATATCGTGCAGAGACTTTAGAAGAGACGAAGCCCTCCGAAGTGTGCAATAATAATAACAATAATAATAGGAAAATAGATTAGTAAATTGAAAGTGAACGGGTCATTTTGATTTGTGGTAAAAAATATTGTGGGATTTATTTATTTTTGGATGCTTGTGTCTGAGCATGCGGTGCGGGTGCACCATCTCCATGCGGCAGCACCGCACACAAATGCCAAAATTTCCAACGCTATCGAACTTAACAGTGACAGAAGAAAATTAGGGAGGGAAAGGGGTTGTTTGGCATCTGGTGGAAAAAATTGGGTGATTTTTATATGTTATTTTGATTGTGTGCGCATACGAGGCGTCATTGGAGAATTGCCAGGTATGAGAGAATCGTTGTGGCTGGCGGTGTCACGGCGTTACCGCATTGTCCATTTCCTTCTATTGTGTTCGAAGGCCCATCACTAACAGAAGCATCTTGGCGGGATGGACGACGAATAAGTTCTATTGTGGAAACATTGCACTCCGTGTGACCGCATGGAGTGAGGCACCGCGTCATGGCTGGATGAGGATTCGCTTCCGCGTTTGGCTCTTTGGGTGATTGCTGGCGGTGTGTGCGTTGTGTGCCGGCAGCTGGCTGTGGCCGTATCCCGTTGCTGTGGGACTGAACTGGAGGCGGTGGCGGTGTGTGCGTGTGTTGTGTGGAGGGCCGAATCTTCTCACCCGCGGACTGGCAGCACTGCGATGGTGTTTGTGTGTGATGGCTGGTGTGGAGTTGCCGGCCAGGGTGAAACCCTTTGCGCTGCTTTTCCCGTCTGTCTTTTGTTCCTTCCGTGTGTTTTGCTGCTTGTTGCTTTTTTCCCTCTCACCCTCTCCCGTGTTCCTGCGTGGAGTGGCTGCATGCTCACGGGCCATTTTGATTGTGAGTGGCTCTTGACTGCATCCATCTCCCTCTCTCCCTCCGTCTTTCTTTCTCTCATTCCCTGTTGGGTGTGGCGTGTTGCACCGCGTGAGGGCTGGCCCGCACACACCGACGGCCCGCCGTGACTTGCCGTGTTGCTGCTTTTTTCTTTGGGCGATGGTCCTCCGTGCCGTCCCTTCCGGATTGTCTCGTGCCCCGCTCTCTGCGTGGGTGCTCTGCTCTGCTCCTCACTGACCCTTCTGGTGTATTGCCGCTTTTGCTGCTTTACTCTTCACTTCTTGAGCACAGACACGCTAGGAAAAAAAGAAAGCAAGCAAGCGCTAATCGATACTGTGTAATTCGAAGGCACTGAAAGGACCAACAGCACACACACCGCCCACACACACATATTTATATGCTCTCACGTGTTGCTGCAGTGAAGGCACCCCGCACTCACAACCATCGCCGCGTGACCGGATCCAGCGGAAGGAGGAGGGAAGGAAGAGAGAGTGAGCCGCAGAGGCCCAGCATGTCCCGGCGTGTGTTTACTTCCGCGGTGGTGATCCTCGTCGTGATGATGTGCTGCAGTACTGGTGGAGCTGCGGCTTCTGATGGGCAGTCATCTGATCCAAATTTTGAATGGAAGGACATCACTGATGGTGAAACTTTGGACTCGTTGAGCGTTCCCGGCCTTATAGTAGTGGGGAGTGGCGTATTTGCCGTTGCCGGGGCGCAGTGCAAGAATGGTGAAAACACTGTTTTTACTGGCATTGCATCCCAACTTCTCACCAACACAGCGGATAACAAACCGGAGGAAGTGCTGAAGGATGCCAAGGATAAACCACAATTTCTGGAGGAAGGCGGTTCCCCAAGCACGAAAGTAGATGTGAGCCGACCAACAACAGTTGTGAATGGAAGTGATATTTACATGCTTGTTGGAAAATACAGCCATGAAGCTGCCGCTAACTGTCAGGCTGGAACTGAGAACATCAAATCAGGAATATTGCTGGCAAAGGGTGAGGTCGGTGGTGAAGGCGACAAAAAAATTGATTGGAAAACTACTGACGGTGTACCGTGCACTCTGGGCGACCAACACAAATCCTTGACAGGGCTGATTGGCGGCGGTGGATCGGGTATCAAGCTGAAGGACGGCACGTTTTTGTTCCCGGTGGAAGGCACGAAGGAGAACGAGGACAAAGATGTGAAAGCCGTTTCGCTGATTATGTACTCCTCGGGTACTAAGAGCTGGACGTTGTCGAAGGGGATGTCTGCCGATGGCTGCAGTGATCCCTCCGTCGTGGAGTGGGAAAAGGACAAACTCATGATGATGACTGCGTGCGATGATGGCCGCCGCAGGGTGTACGAGTCCGATGACAAGGGGGATTCGTGGACGGAGGCCCTCGGGACACTCTCGCGCGTGTGGGGCAACAAACAAAAGTTAAATGAGAAGGGCGTTAGAAGCGGGTTCATCACAGCGAATATTGGCGATGGTGTTGATAATAAGAAGAGGAATGTGATGCTTGTCACTCTGCCGGTGTATCCCAAGAATACTGAGGAAGAACAAGTTAATGAAAAGGGCGTACTCCATCTTTGGCTGACGGACAATACGCACATTGTTGATATTGGGCCGGTATCCGAGGAAGATGACGTTGCCGCCAGCTCCCTTCTGTACAAAAGTGGAGATAATAATGAGGAGTTGATTGCACTGTACGAGAAGAAGAAGGACGACGCGGAAAAACCATCACCCGGTATCGTCTCTGTGCGTCTGACTGAGCAGCTGAAGCGGGTGAAGGATGTGCTGGCGACCTGGAAGGAAGTGGACGAACGTGTCTCCAAGCTGTGCCTCACTTCAAGTGCTGCCAAGGATGAATCAACTGGCACTGCCTGCAGTACTGATAAAATCAAGGATGGGCTTGTTGGCTTCTTGTCCGGCAACTTCTCTAATAACACATGGAAGGACGAGTACCTCGGGGTGAACGCCACAGTAAAGAAGGGAGCGAAAGAAGTGGCCAGCACGGATAACGGCGTGACGTTCAAAGGACGTGGTGCGTGGGCGGAGTGGCCCGTTGGCAGGCAAGGGGAGAATCAGCTGTACCACTTTGCGAACCACAACTTCACTCTTGTGGCGACGGTGTCCATCCACGATGTGCCGAAGGAGGGTTCTATTCCATTGATGGGTGCGACGATGAATGACAGTGACAATACAGTACTCCTGGGACTGTCGTACAACGACAACGAAAAGAAATGGCGGGTGTTGTGCGGTGGCAGAGAGAACAAGGAGCACAGCAGCCATTTGGAGACAAAGAAATCAGAACACGTGGTAATTTTGCTACGGAACGGCAACCAGGGCTCTGCGTACGTTGATGGCCAGCCTGTGGGTGGGGATGAACAGTGTAAATTGAACAACACGGATTCGAAAGGAATCTCCCACTTCTTCATTGGAGGGGATGAAGGCAACGCAGAGGGCCAAGAAGGCGTGTCTGTGACGGTGACGAATGTCCTGCTGTACAACCGCCCGTGGAAATCCGAAGAGATTGCAGGGCTTGCCAAAAATAAAGTTACTATTTCGAAGTCGGAAGGCCCGAAGACATCGATGGATACTCAATCATCAGCGACAAGTGGATCACCTGTGCAGGGAACCGTGTCCTTGTCCAATTCTGCCAGGCAACTGCCGTCGGAACAGGAACCGTTGAAAGAGAATATTGGTGGTGCTGGCGGTGTATCCGGTGCAGCTTCCGTTACTACTCCTTCAGCAGATGCAAACACTCCTGCCTCTAATGGCGAGGGGAAAGTTGAACCTGCAGTGAAAAAGGAGATGAGCGTGAACTCTGCTGAGGATGAGGAGACAAGAGGAGGAACGGATGGGCAGAAGGAAGAGGTACAGCCACAGGTAAGGGAAGTAAATGCAACGGCACTCAACAGCAGCCTCGGAAAATTGTCGCAGGGGAATAACAGCGATGCCGGCACCATGCGTGGGAGCGGACTGCTGCCATCGCTGCTTCTGTTGGGACTGTGGGGGTTTGCGGCTCTGTGAGGAGTGACTGGCTGCCGCGTGGAATACCTGCGACCTCCAGCACAGAATTACTTCTCCGGGAACTAATATATCTCATAAATCTTTTTTTTTGCGTATTTTAAATTTATTTTAATGTGTGCTTCTTTCTTGTTTTAAAATTCTTTTTTTATTTTTATGTGTTTGTTGCTTTTTTTCACATCCCTTCTCTTTTTTGCTTTTGGGGGCAATCACTGTGGCAGTGATTTTTTCTTTTCTACTCTTCCCTCTTTTAATTGTTTGTTGCTGCACTCTTCCTGTGAGGGGTGCCGTGTGTTTCCCGCCCAACTGCTCCACTTGCACACCACCGACACGCTCATGACGACGGCCCTGTGCGCCTCGCCTGCTGCACGCATGAGGAGGGGCCGCGACGAACGGCGCGCTGAGGGAGCCGTGAAGTGTGGGCGTGCGACGAGGGCCTGTGGGGCGGAGCACACATTTCTTTCCCTCTTGTTTTGTTTTCTTGCGGCCAGGGCGGGCAGACGCCCGCAGCGCCACACACACAGCCACACCCTGCCGCCGTGTTTTTAAGATTTTTTTTTTTCGTGTGCGTTTCACGCGCTGGCAGTCCCGTCAGCATTTCTTTTCCCCTGATGATTTTTTTCTTTTGCTGCGCTCACTCTCCCGATGGAGTGACGCGACTGCCGTCATGTCTGCGTGCTTCTCTCAGTCCCCACACACACGAGTGACTGTGCTCTGCGGGCTGCACTCACGCGCCGATGGGAGGGATGAGGGGAGCAGCAACACGCAGATGACCCCATGAAATATAAACGATGTGCGGACACACAGAGGGTCGGACGGTTGAAAGACATTTAAATATCTTTTAATTTTCTTTTGCGGGCAAAATATGCAGACAGTTTGGTGTGGCCACACGGCAGCCGGCTGCTTTTTTAAATTTGTGTGGAACAGTAATGGACGTTTTTTTTTTATTTATAATTATTTTGTGTGATGGGGTTTATGTTAGACGAAGGGGAAAGCTTTTTGTTTTGGGTAAATATTGTGTGAATTGCCGCTGCTTGGGCTGCACTGCAGTCGTGAGTTTGAGCGGTCTTCTTCTTGTTGCTTCCGCCGTGCACCTCTGCTGTACGTTTTTGTGCGTTCCTCCACATACTCTGCTCCCTCTTTACTTCTTTGCTTCGTGTTTCTGCAGGCACACAGAACCACACACGCACAAGATGCACATTGCAGTGGATTTGAATGCTTCTTTTGTAGCGCATGCTGTCAGTTGCGTGTGGCGGCGGCTGCTGTTCGCTCCGTGTGCGTTACGGCTGCTGGGAGAGCTGGAGATGCATCTGGTGATGCGGATGCGGTGGTTGTGCCGGTGGATGTGTCGTGTGCTTCGAGTGACGGCAGCCTGAGCTATCGCGTGCGTGTGTGGGCGTGGACGAAGTGCTCTGCTGCCAGTGCTGAGGCTCAGCATGAGAATTATACTTTCAGTGGCTTTGGTGTGCGCATGCATGGCAGGAATGGTGAGCTGGGTGCTGTGTGCCATGTGGCCAATGCGGTGCACACATGTAGCAACTGTGCTGCCAGCTGTGCAAGGAAGGAGGAAGGGGCCACCGTTGCCTTCACGATGAATGTGACGACACATAAATACGCCGGCCCTTATGAATTGTGGTGGCGTCAATTTTCCCCGATGGAACCATCCATCCGCCTGCACGGAGCAGCGATGCTGACCGGACGGGCATCTGTCAGTTGCCGCCACCCCGTGAAGGGAAGGATGACACAAAATCTGGTGGGACAACTGCGCCGCAAGTTAATGCTGAGCCGTCACGTCAACACGAGGATTGGCGACGGTCTGCGGCGGCTGACGGACCCAACACCGTCGATCCGAGTCCCGCATCCAACACGGCGACCAACACGTCCGAGACGAGGCCTGAGTTTGCCAGCAATCCGAGCGGAGTGATGGTCCCGAATGCATCCAACAAGAGGCCTTCCTTTGCCAACGGTCCGAGAATAGTAGTGGTGGCGTTGGATGCATCCGGGATCATGTCTGTCACTTATGGCGGCAGGGAACACGTTGCTGCGGATAACACGGACGAGGTGAGTGAGCACAACTCCACTGGACACAAATCTCTCGTTTTCAGAAAATGGCGTTGCGGGCAGTGGATTTGTTGCTGCGGGTGATGCGTACGGATTGACTCAACGCAATGCCTCTGGACACGAGTACAATCCCCAATTACGAGAATTCACCGCGCAGTATTCCGGGAGCGGTGTGAGTCCACTCGACTGCTTTGCCCTGCGCAACGACGCGAAATTGAGACTGCGAGAGTTAACTGTTGACGGCACTGTGCGTGTGTGCGTGTATTTGGGCGTTGCTGCTTCTTATGGGGTTGTGTGGAGCTGTGGCGGTCTTCTGAGCCGAAGAGTGTGGAATTGCGACTCCTCGCAGAGAACATGTGCCGCGTTGCATGCGTGTTTTCTTTTATTATTTACATTTTACCGTTGGTTTTGTTGTCTTCCTGGAATAATGAGTATCGTTGCTGTTCCTTTATTTAATGGTCGGTTGCTGCACACTGTCATGAGTGACGCGTTTCTCCTCCTTGTTTTTTGTTGCCCACACGCGGTGCCGGCCTCATTGCTGTGCGTCCCACGGACTGCACGAAAGGAGGATTGGAGGAACAGGCCGGATGCCGCAATGAAATGTGAGGGATGTTGTGTGGCCTGGTGGAACAGCAAGATCTTTTTTTAAATTTCATTTCTCTTTTTTTTTTTCTTGAAGGCATTATTTATACACAGCCACACACGGTTGTCTTGTGTTGCTTGGCATATGAAATAGAATTTTGCGCGATTGATTTTTTATATTCCTCCCCTGGAGTTCTGTTGGACTCCTATCATTTTTTTTTTCCTTTTTTGTTTTTTCCGCCTTTTGATGTTTTGTTTTGCGTGGCGGTGTGTGAGTTCTGCAGTTGTAATGATTCCATCTGTCTTTTTTGGTGTGCGCTTCTTCTGACTGCTGCCATTTATTACCATGCGGTGGCTGTGCGTGGTGTAGCTGCTGTCTCTCTCTACTTCCTTTCTCATGCTCCTGCAGATCGAATCCACGTTTTTTAACAGCGATATTTTTGATGATGATGCACCGTGTGTTTTGTGTCCTGTTGGTGCTGGCACTGCTGTGCTGCTGCTCGTGCGTGTTTGCCGTGGAGGAAGTGGAGGAGCAAGAGCCGCAGGAGGTGCTGCAGGTGAATGCAGAGTGTGCGGGTGACGGTAATGTTGGTGGCAAACTTGCGCGCTGGCAGCTCCCTGGGAGGTCATTGTGGTACAACTGCACGGTTGAAGATAATGGTGTGGGGAAGGATATTTGCGGCATGGGCGTCGGAAACTGTACGTCCGAGGATGTTGAGAGACGTATAAAAGATGGTGCGGAGCATGGTGTCTTCACGATCAACGTCACATCGCCCACTCCAAGCGCGGTGAAGAGTTGGTGGGAGAGTAACGTAGAGAAGGCGGTCACCGTCGCAATTGTTCCGGCTAAACCTCCTGCAGCACTTACTCCGGGCCCTCAAGAGCACAAGGCTCCCGGTGGCACCTCCACAACAAATTCTGAATCTTCTGACGTTGAGGATTCCGCGGATGTTTCTTCTCCTCCTCAAACTGCAACTCCAGGCGGCGCTGTTGCTAACTCTGCTGCTGGCGCTGCGGCCTCGCAGGCGTCGGATTCCGCCTCCGCTGGTGATCCTCAAGGCCCTTCACATTCTGCCTCTGCTGCCTCTCCTGTACCCGAATCCCCACCAGATCCGGAGCCCACAGAAGGCGGCGACCACTCCTCCCATGAACCTCCAGTGGAGCTGCAGGAAGAGACTGCTGCTGCGCCACCGACTCAGTTGTCCCAGACCGGCGAGGACGGGGGTGCAGCGGAAGGCACCGAAGAGGACACCGCCGCCAACGCCACCGACACTGCTTCCGGCGAAGGCAATGCTACGGCGGCAGGCATGTCGGCTCCCCTTTCCTCTGCGCCCAAAACGAACGCGCTGGAGAACAGTGTGGGAACTGACGCCTGCTTCCATGGCACCCATCTGCATGCCCTGCCACTGCTTTTTCTGGCTGCACTCACTTACGGGACACTGGGCTGAAGAAGTGAATGCGGACTATAATTGCTAGCACTCAACCACGGGGATTTGTGCGCTTCTTTTGTTTTATTGCGTAATAATAGAAAATAATGATGATTGTGTTTTGTTCCATTTGCTTCTGCTGCGCTGCTGTGTGCTCCATGTTCTTGCCTCCCGTGTCCGTCACTTGGCGCGCGTCCCAGACACATTCGTATGCACGACACGCCCACAACTGTTTGCGTGGACGCACTTTTGTGTGAGTGTGCATGCACGCTGGAGCCATTTGTTGCAGCTCCTTGTGTTTTGTTCTTTGTGTTTTTACTTATTTTTACTTTCTTTTTTTTTCTCTGCTGTTGTTTTGTTGCTACTTGTTTTTTATGTGTTTATTTTCCTTGTTTTTTGCTTCCTTCGGGGTGCTGTGAGTTTTTTCATTTTTTAATGGTTTATTTTCTTTAACTTTTTCTTTGTTTTCTAATCTCTCATCCCCCATCCCTTCTCTTTTGCGTTTGGGGGCAATCACTGTGGCAGTGATTTTTCTTTTCTGCTCTTCCCTCTTTTAATTGTTTGTTGCTGCACTCTTCCTGTGAGGGGTGCCGTGTGTTTCCCGCCCAACTGCTCCACTCGCACACCCACCGACACGCTCACGACGACGGCCCTGTGCGCCTCGCCTGCTGCACGCATGAGGAGGGGCCGCGACGAACGGCGCGCTGAGGGAGCCGTGACGTGTGGGCGTGCGACGAGGGCCTGTGGGGCGGAGCACACATTTCTTTCCCTCTTGTTTTGTTTTCTTGCGGCCAGGGCGGGCAGACACCCGCAGCGCCACACACACACAGCCACACCCTGCCGCCGTGTTTTTCTTTTTTTTGCTGCGCTCACTCTCCCGATGGAGTGACGCGACTCCCGCCGTGTCTGCGTGCTTCTCTCAGTCCCCACACACACGAGTGACTGTGCTCTGCGGGCCGCACTCGCACGCCGATGGGAGGGCTGAGGGGAGCAGCAACACGCAGATGACCCCATGAAATATAAACGATGTGCGGACACACAGAGGGTCGGACGGTTGAAAGACATTTAAATATCTTTTTAATTTTATTTGCGGGCAAAATATATGCAGACAGTTTGGTGTGGCCACACGGCAGCCGGCTGTTTTTTTAAATTTGTGTGGAACAGTAATGGACGTTTTTTTTTATTTATAATTATTTTGTGTGATGGGGTTTGTATAAGTTGAAGGGGAAAGTTTTTTTGTTTTGGATAAATCTTGTGTGAATTGCCGCTGCTTGGGCTGCAGTGCAGTATCATGAGTTTGAGCAGTCTTTTTCTCTTTATTTCTGCCATGCACCTCCGCTGTACATTTTATTGCATCCCTCCACACACTCTGCTTCCTTTTCTACTTCTTTGCTTTGTGTGTCTGCAGGAACACACACACAAGATGCACATTGCAGTGGATTTGGATGCTTCTCTTGTAGTGCATGCTGGCAGTTGCGTGTGGCGACTGTTGTCTTTTTCCGTGGGCATGAATGGAAGGAGGAGAGAGGGAGCGCGCACCGCGAGTCACTCTTCCTGTTGGTGTGATGCGCGCGGTGGGCTGCGACTGCTGTGGAGGGCCGCATCCTTTTGGTGTGCGCTTCTCCGCCGTTGTGCCGTGCGTTTGCGCATGTTATTTGTTATGCGCGTGCGTGCTGGGCATGTTTTCCGGAGCGTTGGGCGGCCACCATCTGTCGATGGCGGCTTGTGTGAACGGACACGTGCGGATGAGGGTCAGGGCGTATGGAATGAAGGAATGGCTTGAGGAAAGGGGAATTTGGTTTGGGGGGTATTTGGACCGGATTCATTTGGCTGCGGTGGCCACATGCACGACGGATGTGTTTCCGCATAATGGGGGAGGATGCGACAGGATTTTCCGAAGTGGCCCGTCAATGCAATTCGGGTTTCATAGCACTGGGGCACAGTGGTCTTCCTGCAATGGCTGGTGACGGCCCCTAGTGGACCGGTGTATTTATGCTGCTGCTGCTCGAGGAGGCGTAGAAGTGCGATTTGGGGTGAGCGGCGGAAGGGCCACACATCTCGCAGTGATGGTCGTCGTTGGCCCAGCGGGCGCCTCTGAAGGTTTTGTTGGATGCAACGCCCTTATGCCCGTCTCCGGATGGCGGCATCCCTGATGCAGCCAACGAACGGGGCTGGGAGCGACGGTGAGACGCAAGCACGTGTGGATGTTCGGAGCGGCCGGCGCACCGCACGCTGAGAGCATGGCGCGGTGGGGGCCGGACCCAGAAAAGGGACACCGCGTGGGACGTCAATCTTCACTGCAGCGACCGCCACTGAATTCGGATTTGCTCGCAACTTCTGCGGTCCCTCCTCCTCCCCTCACTTCTGTGCCGAGGACTGTGCCGCGGGATCGAGCAGCGCGATGTTTGGCCGCAGGAACATGGCTCGAACAAATGATTTGTGGGAGGGGGATGCGCACTGCGGGTAGAAGGAAGAAAATATTGCGAGACGACCACCACCACAGGACCGGAGTGAAGTTGTGTTTTGTCCACTTGCGCGAGGGCAGCCTGCCACCTGGTCGGTTAGGAGGATTATTTTTTTTTCGTCTTTGCGCTCTCTTTTTATTCCGCTGCGTTTTCTTGCGGACCTGCGAAGGGAGATTTGCAAGAAATTCCTGCGAGGCGTCCGTGCCGTCGTCGGAAAAGCGGAATCCCCCTTGAAAAACGCTACTTTATAAATTTGTTTTGGGCGGGGAGTTCCTGTCGATTCACTGCGACTTTGTTTTGCGGATTTGATGCGTGTGTTTCCGAGCGGTTCGGTCTGTGCTCCCGGCCCACTCGGATGTGGTGTGCGCGTCGACGTGAAGGTGCCTGCCAGCCGTTTTATTGCCTCCCCCGCTGTGGCTGCCGCCGCTGCCTTCTTCCCTTCCTGAGGTCCTGCGGCTTCTTGACAAGATGTTTTGGAGAAGGCGTTGCCGCTCTTATCGTCCATGGTATTTTGATTCTGGTGTCGCGGTCAGGAGACATTGAACGAGAGGGTTTGCTGCCCTCCTGTTTTGCTTGTCCTCTCTGCCTGACGGCCAGTTCTACACTGAAGTGCTCCTCGGCACCTCAGTTGTCACTGGCAATCGCATGCGCCAACTCTTCTCTGCTCCCTTTCAGTGTCGCATTTTATTGATTGACGGACGCCATTCTGTCCGGCGTGCCACTTTGATTGGATTGTGTGGGACTGCTCGCCAACGCCATCGGAGAAAGCAGGTCAACTTTTCACGTATTTAATTGCCATCTTGCGCGCACGTGTTTTTCACATGTTCTGTTGTGCACTCAAACAGCGAGGAGTCCGGAGCTATGCGTGCGTGGAATTCTTCCTGCCATGTGAACTGCGGGCAGCACCGAGGGACTGCCACTTTGACTCCGCAGAGTTATTGTTTCTTTTCACAGGGCTGGCAGGGAAATTCCATGCAGCCTGCTACTGCTGGTGTGTCCCGAAATGTTGTCACTCCATGCGAATAATGTGCTTCAGCGAGTGAGGGTGTTGATTGGGTTGTGTGCACTCGGATTCTGTTTGCTGCTTTGTGCGGACACGCAACACTTGAGTGGTGGGAAAATGTAGCGGGGCGATGCATGGCCGCGTCCAGCCCATTGTTCAGTGCACGATAGTGTGGTGCACATTGTGGTGCTGACTCTGCGATGTGACTGCGGTCCCCTGCGCGGCAATGGCGGTGGGTGGAGGAGAGTGTTGGCCCGCGGCGTGGCGGTGGGATCGTGTCTCCTTTTCTCTTTGTTCCTTCCCTTTTGTGAAGGTGTGCACTTATTTTTGGTGTCGGTGATGGGGCAAACAGACAGACAACGTGAATAAAACAAAATAAAAAAGTGCGATAGTGTGGCGGTGTTGGGGTTGGTTGGAAATTGCATTGCTACGAGGGCGGTGTGTCTTGGCTGTTTTGCCCACAGGCGTTGCAGTGCGGCTGCATGGCGCAGCGACCACCGAGCCGTGCGAGTGCCACGCCCAACGCCATTGGGACTGCGGGACTAAACAGCCGCGAGTGTCCTTGGTGCCAGCGGCACCTGCTGGCCGCAGTTGGGCGGTGCGAGTGGGATGCCTCACCGCACGGGTGTTGTGATGGCACCTCGCCGTGGCTCTTGTGATGGTTTCGACGCTGCAGCTCGACATGTGGTGGGAATAAAGTGTGGCCGCAGTGGACCATGAGCAGCACCAACATGAGGCTGAGTGATTTCCCTTGGAATTATGTTGGCGGCAGGGCGGCCGTTGATGAAAGACTACAATGTGACGATGGAGATGTTTGTTCAGGAGCCGGATGATTACGCACAAGACCAGCGGCTTCTTGAAGAAATTCTTAACCTAAATGCGCACCAAGCGCTGGAGGCCATTACTAAGCCTCTTCACGAAGGTGTTCTCTCTCTCGGGTAACGTAGGGACTATGAAAGAAAAGGATACGATCACTCCTCTTGCAAGGGGAAAACCAAACGGGGTACTCACGCAGGTACCGACAGAAGCGAGGCGGGAGGCAGCGGAAAGGCTAAGACAAACGCAAGAAATGAAATTTACCATTTCCACTAATATCGAAGACGTACTGTTCAAAGGAAGAGTTCGCGTCAATGAAATGAGGCTGAACGACTTTCTTACGAGGGAACTGGACGGCAGGGGCTTTGTGGACACCAATCGGGATGTCTTGCTGGAGGAGTTTTTCAAGGACCCCACGAAGTATAGCCGTGATAAAGGAGCGTTGAACGAAATGCAGGCATCGGATCGTTATTTGAGTATGAAGCGAGCTGTGAAGGGTGAAGTGATCTTCGATGAGGATATACGCAGGCTTTGCGATAAGGGTGTCAACAATCTACCGGGGTGGTCATTGGCTGCTGCGGAGGTAAAGGCAACTGTTCATAAATTCACCAAACATTTCTTGGATGCAGCTGCCGAGGAGGCGAGGAACCCAACGACGACGAGCGCACCGGAGAAACTGGAGGGATGCTACGAGTCTGTGCACAATGCGAGGTGGAGCCATGCGGTGGAAATTCCGG